CACATATAAGCATGTCAACCCATCTGCCAGTCATGACCTTCAAGATACAAAATTCTCTTATTTCGCAAAGTTATCCATTCTTTTAACCACATTAAAACAGACGCTTGATAATACAACATCCAATCAGGAAGACCAAAACCTCCATTCCTTTTAGCTTCCTGAAGCATTTTTAATTTAATCCTTGGTTTCTTTTTTCGAGATAAATCTCGAAATTTGAAAATTTAGATCATCAAAGAATTTTTTATCAATTTTTATGGGAATCATTTGAAACAGAAACAGAAGTTTAGGTAATATATTCATTTTAACAAGTGCTATTCTTCCCATCAAAGATAATTGTAAATTGGCCCATTTTTCCAAATCACCTTTAATAGCCTTCAATAATTTATCATAATTATCTTCTTTCAAAGTAGTACATTTACCTGTAAGATAGATTCCCAAGTATTTAACCTTTTTAACAATCTGCAAATCTACTTGTACCTGGAGTCTTTCTTTTTGTTCTCATATAAGGTTTTTAACTAACAGTTTCGTTCTCTCTATTTATTTTCATTCCCATAACCCTCACCATATTCTTTAATCCGTTGTAAAAATTTACTAAACTTTTACATTGTTTGCATTGTATGAATTGTATGATGCTTCTTTATCCAATATATTAATGCTGTAAGAGTGAGGTTATTGTAAATGGAGGATCTTCTGAAATGTGTGGTTTCTGAGGTTATATTGTGAATATATCTAATCTCTGGAAACATTTTGAGCAATGTGAATATATCAGAAGGTTCTACCAGTAGAGCTTTGGGTGATTTTGAATAAATTGGCATCAATTTATTCAAATGATTCTCAATTGTTTAACAACATACGAACAATGTATGTGTGTGACCAAGAGTGGACTTTTGTGTGGAAGGACTGTGAGCCCAAATCAGTTTTGGTATTGAAAATAAGTTCCATGTCTCAGGGTTGTTGTTATGTGTGAGACCTGTACCATGGTTTACAACCCAATAACAATTTGCAGTAACACTGATTAGTAATGACATGGAGAACGTCCATAAACAGAGGATGCTCTTCTCTTCAAATGGTTGCCTCCAGGAGTTGAGGATGACAAATGTAGTAAGGGAGATGTGCAGGGCTGGAAAACTCCTTCCCATGTACATTTGCCTTGCTCAGGCTTAGAATGCCTGAACAGGTTTCAATATACTGTAGATACAGCTCCTGGTATGTCTTTGTATAGCAGAGCCAATAACCAGATGTAAATTAGCATTTTGACTCACCGCATGCATTTTTGTCCCATCTCGATTGAATGGATGTTACCAGCCCTAAAACTAGGATAATTCAACATGTGTTTTCTGAAATGCTTTTGATTATTGTAGATTTTCTTCAACAGATAATTTGTTTGGAATACACAAGTTGATATATAATTGTATGCTTCCTTGGAGACCAGCATCCTGAACTCCTGTTGGTTGTTAGTGTGCTGTGGGCAGAGGGAAGTAGTGTAACAGAAGTAGAGTAAGTAGAAAACTAGGAGAAATTGGACAACTGGAAACAATGGGCCACTCTACATATTTTACATGTGCATTCATTCAGGAGCTGCATGTGTGTAAATATGTGTTTATCACAGTCATTCCTTACACTAGGTATCTCAGCACTTTGGGCTTAGTGAGTACATTTGTAATCTGGAGAATTTCTTGGTGCTTTCACAAAATGGCTGCCAAGAGACGAGGTTGACCATGTCTAAAATGGTTGCCATGGAGTCTGCAGCTGTCCATGTTTTGCTGTACACTTAAAACATCTTAGGTATACTCCTAAAGTGTAATATACAAAAGGATCCTAAGAAGCTAGGCAGCTAATTAATGTATCCCAAGTTTCCAGAGCATCTGGCTTCAAATAACACTTCTAGGAGCTGCACTTAGATTTCATCGTTGTTTCCAAGCTGAGTGCTGTGACTATTTCCAAAATGCACAGTGAGATTTTCTATCTTAAAGGTTAGCCTTCTTACTTGAAATAATTCAACCCAATGGGCTAATGCTGCAGACAACTGCATATGCATGAGAATAAAATTAAATTGTTTTATGGCTTTATTAGCAAGTATTACAAGATCCATGTCAGTGCAATGCCTGTGTAGCTCTCTTGAACAAGGCACTTTTGAAAATGTCAGGTCTTCCAAAGACCAACAGCAACATAAGCCTGCAGTGTTTATAGCATAACAGAAAGTTTTCTTTAATTAAGCCGTAGCATTAAATATTGGGAAGTTCATTTGACCATCAGTGTATCCAAGCAGTCAATACATTATTTGGTTCATTAGAAAGTTGTTAAAATGTTTGATTTTATCTCACATCAACTTTTAACAAAGTGAATCATCCTGTATGCCAGAACGGAAAAGTGGCTCGCTGGAGTTCTGTCTTGATGTGCTATTGCATTCCTTAATGAATGCTCAGGGCTCTATTTCTAATTTTGGAATGGAGTAAAATGAATTTGCTGTAATTTTCAATCACTGGAGAATACTCTTAATGTACATCCCCCTACTGTTTATGTCTTATGCAAACAGTATCTCCTTAACAATGCCCATTGCAGCTAATTTAAAACTACAGATCTCAAAAATATTGTCCTGTAAAGTTTTAATAGAGCCCCATGCAACTTAATTATCCATTATTGGCAGTTTTTCTCCTGGGGTGATTAGTTGGAGGAAGCTAGTGAACTTTGAAATAGAAAGATCTCAGATGGAAGGTTGATGAGTTATTTAACAAGTAACTGGCATCAGAGGGAATGGGGGGCTCCCCTGACTCATCTTTGATCAACTTGTTTTCTCTGTGGCAGGATATTCCTTCGCATGAAATAGTCTAATTTAAAGTTTTGTTGGAGAATTCTCTTTAACTAGAACAGTTCCTATTTAAAATTCATTCAGCTACGACTGGAAAATGAATCCATCCACTCATGAAGACATTCTTCTTCTTCATTTTGAAGAAGCTTACACGACCATCTTAATGGGTCTCCTGGAGTTACTGAAATCCATTCTGAGTAGTTAGTAAGACTGATATTTTTTTCTTGAATTCCTACTACCAACTGATGTGGATTCTTATGTTTCCATGAAACCACAGGGTAACTGAATCATCTTTTGATCCCAGTAGAAACAGACTAATTGAAAATCAATACAGTGTTGTATTGGGGACAATTTTGGACGTTCAATTATAATACTCCAGAGTGCATTTTATTCAAGTACAAACAGCAATCAAAGATTATTAATGTCCCAGTGCAGTTATGACCTTGCAAGCACAGAACACAGCAAAGAATATCATGAGTTATTAAGTGAATGTAAGAACATATTAAAACAACAGACACAAAAGGAGAGTAATTGAGATAGGGCTCAGTTACTAGGATACAGCTGTTCCTCCTTAACAAACTGCCTGGTCACTGAGGTGATCAGACAGCATCATCCTAGTAGTTCTTGCATGGAGCTATGTCCATTTGGAACCCACTGAGAGAAGAGCCTTCAGTGTGGTGGCTCCACTTCTGTGGAACTCCCTGCCTCTAGAAGTCAAGCAGGAATCAACATGTGTTGCTTCCAATACCTCCTGAAATGCATACATACATACACACATACATGCACAATGCATCTTAGATCTTGACCGGACATGTAGCCCATGCCAGCATATTTACTCAAAAGAAAGCACCATTTGAAATTCAGTGGGGCTTACTCCCAAGTAAGTGTGCATAGAATTGCAGCCTGACCGAGCAGAACTACTGCACATATTTCAGATGACGGCCAAATTCCATTCTGGAGAAACTTTCTGGGACCACATTCCAGGACTGTGGAGGAAGCTAAAAATACCACCATATTTTAACTTGGTGGTCTTGCCAGCAATACACCTTTGGAAAAACATTGAAATCGTTTAGAAGAGGGATAAAAGTGCACCAAAGCCAGAAAGCACCAATGATTAGTGGTTGGGAGGACCCAGGGAAGCTGAATTTGGTCCCTGTGCCTCAAGTTCTGTACCTCTGATATATAGGAATGGCTCCTTTACAATGAATACCCTTAGTTTTAAGGAATATTTAAGCATCTTTAAACGTAAATAAGTGACTCTTTGTCCAGTGGGCCTGTCTAAATTTTCTTGCAAGACCCTAACAGAACAGAGCTGAGACTTCGTCCTTCGTACTATGCACGGGATAGGGGTGCAAAGCCATAGTTAAGCTACCACCTTTCACAGTATTATCACTAGATATATGCAAAGTAGCAATAGTTGTAGTAAGAGGACATCATCTTAGGGGAAAATTTTATGCATACCTGGACAGTAGAAAGTCCAACAACTCACAATATATTCAAACCAGCAATACTGGCTGCGGCATGCTGGGAGTTGTAGGATATTTTTCTGTCTAAACCCGCATTGGATCGTGCCCTAAATGCCAGGAATAAGGGCATCTGCTTACAGACAATGACAATGCGATCAGCCAGCGGAAATATGCCCATTGCATTTCCCCTGCGAGAACGAGTCATCGGCGTCCTTTCCCAGGCGGGAAAGTCGCAATTGCGCACTCATGTACGAGTCAAGTGAGCGCCATTCATTGGAGCCGGCGAGACGAGCTCCGAATAAATACCCATGGGATTACATGCAGAGAGAATGGCTTGCAGAGAATCGTGACGGCAAAACCCGCCTCTTCCCTATCTCTGTTCCTTGAGGGACAGGCTGAAGGGATTCTGGGCAACCTGGGTGCTTTGAATCAGAGGCTTACAGATAAATGAAAATGCTTCCTTCTCGTGTAGCCATACTCCTTACCAGTACAAATGGCTATTCGGAAATAAACCCAGTAAATTAAATGACATTTACTCTTAAGTACATGTGGATCGGATTGGTATTCACGTTAGACATATATATTCGGCGTCAAACACAGTATGAAAAGAGCGTTGCACCTTTTTAATTTCGCTACATTTAAACTACAACCCCCATAAATCAACGCGAGTAATCCTGGACTTCCGTAGTCACCGCTACTGAACGGTGTGGGCTCTTTTCTTTCCCTTTGCCATGAACCCTCCGATGGGACGCCGGTGCTGCTGATGCCCTGCGTGCAGGCGCCGTGATTGGCGAAGGCACGATGGCGCATCGGCGGCTGTCTCTAGGGCTGCTACAAGTTGCTGCTCTGTTTGTTCTTTGCGGGGGGAACAGTTCTCCAGGTGAGTGTGAGGAGGCTGATTTCGACAGAGGCTGTGCCCGTTTGCTTACGCAGCCCCTCCATGTTTTCTCGGAAGTGCGTTCCATTGTTACCGCTTCGCCTTGCAGAAAGCTGATGCGAGTACGAAGTAGCAACGACTGCCTCGAAGCGCCTGTGTGGGCGCGTCTGCAGTGTTTGCTCGCGATCTGCGACCCCAATCCTGCCTGTCCGGAAGTATTCATGTTCAAAAGCTTAAATTATTTTCCTTCACCGGTTGCTTCTCTTTGTTCTGCAGAGGTTCTGGACGTCACCACAGCTGCTTCCTGCTTCTGCAGCTACCATTGGTACTGCTGTTCAACAAACAATAACAAGTTCACTTGCTAAAAGGCTAAAAACTAACCTTGCTGGGCCGGGCCGCTCTGTATGTCTGAGAAAGCAGACAAGGAGAGCAAGGAGAGGGAAAGTGCCTGTCTGAAGGGGATCTCATCCATAAAAAACGTAGCTGTAATCCTTGCAAAGTGTTTTCCAGCCCAAGTGTGCAGCCAATGCCAAAATAGATGTGAGGCAAACATTGTAGAACTGGTCTGACAAGCCAGTTTGCATTAATAACAGTTTCAGACACTGTTTCACTATATTGTTCTTCAAATGTTCAGAATCAGTAATAAAAGACATGTGGCATTCGTGGTATTATTGTCATGAAGCACTCTTTTTCCTGGCATCTGCACAGATGATTTTGGACACCTTTTGCATCACCATTGCGAAGATACACATTTCAAGACATTCTCTTCTAAAATTTTTGGTAGTGTAAAATACATATATCAATGGGGCAAACTGAATTGTTCAGAGTGAACTCTGGTTTCAAAGAACCACATGCACTTTGGGCACACTGTACTAACTTAAGCAAAATTAGTGGAATGCCATCCCTTATTTCCCACCATGCAATCCTATGCATAATTACTTGAAAGAAAACCCACCATATTCAGCAGGGCTTACTCCTGATTATATTTTAGGATTCTGGTCTTCATCTTATGTAGGGCAAAGCTTTGGGAGCTTTAAGGCAGCTCTATGAAAGAGCATCTTCCTTTTATGAGGTTATTCCTCAGGCATAAAGCCAGTCTCTACAGAGTTCTCATGTGCAAAAAAGTGCAATTAGAAAACCATAACATGAGAATCCTTGTTGAATGTGTGCTCCTTTTTCTTTCTTCATCTTAAAAGCCCATGCACCAAGGTCACCTTTATTCTAAATCTTGTCTTATTTGATAGTTCTTATGTGGTATCCTAAACATGGTCTTATGGGGTAGTTCTCTGGGTATTTTCTGACACTCCACAGCTGCAATATGCCCTTGAGCATGAGTAGGGTTTTCAAAGGGTCACCAAGTTGGAGACAACTTGACAGCATGTGAAAAAGCAGCAGCAACAAATCACTCTGAATGGAAGGGAAAGGATAAAATGTTGCCTATTCAGTGGACAAACATTAAGAATAGAAACACCAGTATTCCTTTGATATGGGACTTGTTGCAACACCACAAACAATACTACTAACAAAGCTAAAATGAAGCATCAGTCCCTCTTTTTTTCACCATCTTTGTGGCATGCGGAATGGTGCCTGTGTCCATAGATGATCTGGAACACGTAAGTGCCTTTAGCTCACCAGATTCTGCATTTCTCAACAGAGTGTGAAAAAAACAGCCATGTAAAAATATATGTGTGTAGCTCAGTGACTGGACAGGTGGGAAGACCCAAATTGCTTTGTGCTCCACTTCCATTGCTAAGTTGCACATGCAGCAAAGCATTGTGCATCTGCATTGATGCAAAGGGTTAACATTCATTACTGTTGCAAGATTGGTTGGACTCTAATCCTGCTTTGCTTCAGATGGAAATTGGAAGAAATTCCTTGTTCGGATTGACAGAGCTGTGCAGGAGTATACACCATGTGTGAAGGAAAACTGTAGCTGTTATCAAAGGTAAGCAAGCATTTCTAATATTTCAGTTAATCTTTACGGAGTGAGTTACACTGGCCATGTTTACACAAAATGGTAAACTAGTAAATGGCAAATTGCTAAAATTCTGTCTTGGTAGTAATGAGCAAGCAGGATCTACCAAAATTTCCCAGAACGAAGCAGTTATCAAAAGGGGCTCTCTTGCAAGTGGGTGCAGCTAAAATAGCTAGGAACTTGCTAATGTAGAAAGCTTAGCATTAAATCTGAACACAGGCCCTGGCATGTTGTTTCTCTGAGAAGCTAGATAACTTGTCAGAGGAGAGACGAGTCATGAGTTCAGATTTGGATGCAAAACTAAACTATCAGTTCCAGATAATTCCTCATTATTCTAGCTGTTCCTCCTTGCAGGAGCCAAGCTGGAACAATCAGGCAGAACGTACCAGGATACTTGCTAATTTCCAATAATCCAGAATTCTGGCCTAATGTTTGTGTTAAACTTGGCTGTAACGCTTAGCCGTACCACAACTGCTATCTGATTGGCAGGATGTGCCTAGCCATTCCCTCACTTTTTGCTTTAACTCTGTTTCTATCTACAGTTTTCAACTTGCTAGATGCATGTTCCCATCAAGCTTACCTGCAAAAATCCCTTATTGACTACCTCAAAATAATAATTCAACAGGCCATATGAGGCATCCTAGATGCCTTTAGAGTGTTAATAATTAGTGTTTTTAATAGCAGAGTATGTGGGGGAGCTTTTCCCCAGTACATCAGAAGCCTGAGAGTCACTTTGCTATAGCAAGATGCCTTTTACAGCCTGCATAGCCAGGGTGAACAACTTGTGGCCCTTCAGATATTGTAGATTACAATTCCCAGGATCCCTCAACATTGGCTATGCAGGATGGGGGTTGTAAACCAAAACCTCTGGGAGACCAGAAAGTTCCCATCCCGGCTGTAGAGTACAATATGGGTTTTCCTGCTCAGCCTCTGTTTGGGTGGAAGTGGTTGCAGCAGTGCAGTGGTTAGACGGGAAAGACCCATGAGCATGGTCCTGCTGACACAATGATTCACAGGAAGATTGTTGCAGCAGCAGCATTGCTTTGGGGAAATGGCCATTAAAACTGTTGCGGTCACACGAGAAAAGACTTTTTTATGCCATTAACACTGGATGAAAGGGGAGTTCTTTTTGCCAGATGAGACACAGCACTACCCTTGCCCAACCCAGCACCCTCCAGATGTATTGGGGCACAACTCCCATCACCCCCAGAAGCAGTGATATGTGATGGGTACTGTAGTCTGACATATCTGGAAGTTGCCAGGTTGAGGAAGGATAAATGACCCCTGCATGCAATTAGCAACTGCATGGATGGTTTTTGTTTGTTGTATAGACTGAAACCCTAGTGAGGAAACCTAAACCTTTGTCATATCCTGCAATTCCAGACTAGATCTGGTGCACCAACTGCCATTTACACACAAACAATGAAAACCCACTCATGCATGTAGCATAACTAATTGCTTATTAGTTTGCATATTCCAATATGGACAGAAACCAGTCTACTGTAACGAATTCTGTATTTCTTCTGACCAAAAAGTAGAGTGCTAATATGGTAAGCTTGTGCTTCATAAGTAGGAGCTAGATGGACTAGAGGTCTTAACAGAACAAGACAACTTGTTTCTCTATACTTAGGGAGTAGAAGTCATATCTAACAAATAGAGCCAGTGTGGGATTGTGATTAAGAGTACTTGTTAGGCCAAATCAAACCACCCTGCAGGAAACAATCTATATTCACACAGCCTACAATGGCTACTTACAGTGGATTGCCTTGTCATGTGAACCCTATCTCTGGCTTATTTAAACCACAATTGTGGTTTGTGGGGTTGTGGCATGTGCCAGTGCATGCCAGGCAACTTTTGAATATTCAAGTTGCACACAACTGCTTGTGTTGTCCAAAGGGTGGCTGGTTGCCATGGTTAACAAACCATTCAGAATTCAGAGTGCTGAACTCATGGACTAGCATTGTGCTAGTTTGCTGACCTTGCCAACATTCCATCGTTACTGGGTTCATATGACACAACAGATTTAATTCTCATTTTTACCATGTTTTACTGTACCTCTGAATGAGGCTTATTATTTTTTATTATTTTTCACCCATGCCATTAGCCACATGGCTCCCTTAGCTCTGATGATGGTGGGAGGGATTATTGTATTGTTTTATTGCATTGTGGTATTTGTTAATTGGGTTGATGTGTTTTTAGTATATGTGTTTCATATGGTATTTTCAATTTGTAGATTACCCAGGGAGCCTCTGAGCTGATGGGCAACCAAGAAATGTAATGTAATAATGCAATAAGTCATGGCCCCAACTTGAATATTCAGAATGGCCACATGCCACAGGTCAATGTGACTTAACTAAGCCATGGTGGGCTGCTGGATTGTGCAAAGCATTCCATTGGAAAAAAGGTGATTAGATAAGGCAGAGTCCTGGTTAGCAATAAGCAACCAGTCCTATCAGGTAGTTGGTTTAGGAAAATGGGAAAGACTGGAGGACTTAGCAAGAATCCTCCAGGATATGAGCTATCCTTTCACCCCACCCCCTAGCATCTGCTACTTACGGTCAGTGTCCCCATCTACTGCTTTAGGCCAGTGTCTCCATCTGCCTAATGAAAGGAATGGGCCTGGGTTTGTACTGAAGCCTACTGAGCAAGAGTCCCTCTCCGAAAGCTGTGTTAACTGTTGTTATACTAATTTCCCCTAATCATGGGTATAATGCTTTAGCGTTAGGGAAAAGGACTTGGCTCCTTTTCAAGACGGAATCTCCAAGGAGCTGCTGTCAGAAGCAATCAGTCGAAGGCTCGGGACACACTACCAGATTGTTGGGAAGAAGGTATACCGTGAACATGATTGCATGTTCCCAGCAAGGTGAGAGCAGTACAGAACCTATCCATCACAGAGAGTGGGTGAACAGGAAACTTTCCCTAGCCTCCTTAACCTGTGGGTCATCGAGCAGAAAATGTTTGAAAGGGCTAAACTGTTCGTGTAAAAAGGAAGAAACTGATGAGGCGTTGCCTTCCCTGAAATGCAGAAATTGTATCTGCTTTTGTGAGAAATCAATATTGACACTGCACTTTAGTTGTACAAGGAGGTGATACGGGTTAGAAATGGAAAGAAATCGAAATAAATACCCCTGGGGATGAGGATAATTGAAAGAGATAACGTGCAGAATTGTCTAAAGCAGGAGTTGTATGGGTATAAGAAGGGGCTTGTGACAGCTTGGTTTACAGCTGCATTTACAAGATCCCTTAACAATGTTGTTATGTATACCCACTGTTTTCTCCACTCACCTCAATTTCTGGACCTTTTGTGTAGCTATCATATGCCCTGCTGTTCGTGTGGCATCTTCTCAGTGTTGTCCAGAAAAGTTTTTCCAGGTGGTTCATGGCCTGTTGCAATCTGAGGCAATGAGAGAAAATATAAACCTTGCTGGTAGCCTGGGATGAGTTAGTGTGACACTTCTAAGATAAAGTCACTTAGATCACTCATGACTTGGATGCCATAGTTAACAGAGGTATCCAGAGTGCTAACTGGCCTAGTTTTGAATTGAGGCTGGAGGATGTGGGTAAGGTGCTCAGGCAAGTCTGGTTAACCATCTGTGTGTTTGATCCTGCTCTTTTAATGAGGGGATGTTCAGCTAGATCTGGGAAGTGTAAATTCTTCCTTGAAAGAGGGATTGGTGCCAGCCATGTAAAACGAGACAGGAATTAAGCCAGTTCTGAAAAAAGCCCGACTTGAAAGATAATAGCTATAGGTTAATTGCAAACAGCCCTTTTCTAGGCAAGGTGCTTGATGTTAAGACGAGCTTTCTTCTGGAAGTTTTGGATTATCATTTCTGCTCTGCCTGACCAATGGTCATACTGGCTAAGGCTAAGAGGAGCTGAAGTCCAGAACATTTGAGGAACACCAGGCTGGGAACCAGCCAGTGTGCTTACAGGTGCAACCCAAGCCTGAACTTCCTGGCGTTAAATTCAAGCTTTTGCATTATTGTGCCTCCACCGTAGCCCAGGTAACTGAGTTCAAAGGACTCAGTGTAATTGAGGTTAAGGGTCCAGTTATGTAGATATTTGGTCCTGTAATTTATAATAGATGGCAAATATTTCCCTTGGCGAAAAACGTAATTCTTACTGCTGAATCATCTACAGATGTAGTGGGGTTGAACACTTCATCTTGAAGATTATTAATGACCTTCCAGACATGGAGATGATAATCAATGTACGAGACTATCCCCAGGTGCCAAAATTGATGAAACCAAAGGTTCCTGTCTTCTCTTTCAGTAAGGTAAGAGAATGGAGAGCTGTTATCCCGCAGCCTTATTAGCTGGGGAGAGCTCTGGTGTTAAATGGAATATGTTGCAAAATATTTAGAATTGGATCTCTTGAAAACCAAGACATATTTCTGTAAGTAACATGCTTCTCTCTCTTCATTTTCTGAAAGACTTCAGACTATTATGATATTAAGTATCCTGCCTGGACATTTTGGGAAGGGGGACCAGCTGTTTGGCCTATTTATCCAACAGGCCTAGGGCGCTGGGACCTAATGAGAGAGAACCTTAGAAGGTACGTCACATGAGAGCTATGTTGTTATGTTTAAAAACAGAGGTCTTAAATTTAATTAAGCATTTATGCTTTTTAATTGAGCCTTGCACCCATGTGAAGCTAGATTTTCTTCATTCTGAAGCATGTGTATTGAGAATTAAATTGTACTTTGTCAAGTGGAAGTTAAGGACCACAGGCGATGTCTTCTGCTAGCCCTGTCTCCTGCCCCTTATTTTTTGGTCTTTTGTGCAGTCTTTTCCCATTATAAAAGGTTGAAATGCTTCTCCAAAGGCTTAGATACTGACAGTAAGCACTTTAAGTGACAACAGCTGGCGTCTTTTGTATTTTTTACTTTTCCCACTCCCCTTCTACCTTCAGAACTGTAGCCACTGGGATATGAACCCCAAGAGATTTTCTGAAATTAAAACTGAAAAAGGACTTTGGACTTTATAAGGCTAAATTAATGGAAATGAACACAGATGTTAGCACATGGGGACAAGGAAGACTTTGCCCAAATCTAATGGTAAATAGGACCACCAGATGCAAGAATTCCGGCAGTGATAGTGCACTGATGGGAATTTTTTTTTTTCCTGTTAAAGGGGCTTCATTCCCTTGGGGACAGTAATGTGATGGGGGCTGCATGCTGGCTTTGGTCATCTAGGGTGTGGCCCATCCTATTTTCCCCTTTCTATCCTACCTTTCTCTTTCTTGCAGTCATTCTCTTTTTATTCCATACTCCCTTCTTCTCATTCCCACCCCAAGTGGGCTGCCAGGGAAGGAACATATTGCCCATGCAAAATGCCTGAACTGAACGCTTTCAATGGGCTTTAGAAATTAGGTTTTAGTCACTGTGCAAAGGAAGGGATTCCAATGGGGTTAACTTCTCATTTCTGTATAGAAGCTGTCACATTTAGGCAACTACTGTCATTCCCTACCATTGGGTGTGCTGGTTTGGACTGATGAAAATTGTAGGCTAAAATGTCTGGAGGGCCGCAAGTTGCCCACCTCTGCTCTAAGAGGTGACCACATCCTTTGCATGTGGTCGTAATAATGTAAGGGGGAAATGGGAAAACCATTATGAGATAAACAAGTTACAGGTAAAAAAATTGATACATTTCGGGAGAATATGATTGTATTCTGTTAAATATATCTAGTTTTAAATGTGAATTGCTGAAGGACATTTTTGAGGCCCTGGTGCATTATTGTAAGCTTGAAGAAATAAAAGTAAAATCCTGGTATATTAAAAAATTGAGCTGAAGAAAGATGGCAATTGCTGTTGTTTTTCAAACCCTTGAAAAATGCATGCAATTCCATGATAGGTTGGTTATATAGCGTTTCTCTTGCTTCAACATGGGCAAGAGGTTATATAAGCTCTTATAAGCAGAAGTACATGTTTGGATTTTGTTTTTCCTTTCTCATACAACATGCTTGTGCAAGGTGTAAAACAGCCCTTTAGGGAACAGAAATGTAGCTTTTGGATCCAACTCAAAATGTTTTAATATGTAATCCTGTGCACAAATCAGAAAAATGTCCTACATCTCTTATGCTGGGAACTGTAGGACTTTATTATTTTAAAACATACATAGGTTTGCCTGCTTAAAGATAAATGTTTGACTTTAAAAAATAAATCCAGTTGCTCTTTTCTCATCTGCCAGTTGGCCGTGGGTATGAAGGAAGTGGGACATGAATAGAATTGTCGCATATCTTTTTAGAATAGAATAGAATAGAATAGAATAGAATAGAGTAGGCACTAATATCACAAAGGTGAGGTGGGATAAATTGACTCAAGAAGAGGTTTGGAGAAGTGAGATTAATTTCTGAGCTGCAGTTCTTGAGATTCTATGTTTTCAATATCCTTCATTGATCAAAATATCTTTAGTGCTGCAGAAAAATGGCCATGGAAGAAGAAAATTTCTAAAGCCTATTTCCGTGGATCCAGGTGAGCCTACTGTCCTCTTCCAAATACTCTGATAATACTGATGTAGCCTTCAACAAGACTAGGGTGTCCTTCTCGTGTTGTCTAGAAAGATTTGTTTATCACTAGTGAAATAAGATCGACCTAAGCTACATATATGGAAGCTGTTGCTTCTTCAGAGAAGACTGTGTGCTTATGGGGATTTCCTATCCCAGCACCTGCACCACTGGTGTGGAGGCTGTTCCTTCACTGGGTAATCTCATCCATAGAGTTCCTTAATTTTCTGGAAAATTGCTTGTATTTCAAGGCCTAAGGATCTCCCTGCTACTACAACTCAGAGTTCTATAAGCTGACTCTTTTCTGCTTCTACCAGTTCTCTTAAAATTCTATAAAACCTCCTAGTAGCCTGGTATATGAGATGTAGCTATGAGATGGACATGAACAATGGAGAAAATATTAACTATTTAACAACGTATATGTTAAAGGAATATAGTTTGCGTAACAGATTACTAATATTCACTTCAGGGATTTAAATAGAATGCTTGCTGACAAGCACTTCTTTTCTTAAATGGTTTGATCTTTCATTGAGAAGTGTCATTCTTAACCAACTCATTAGACTTTATCAAGTATCACAGGATTTTTTCTGTCTGTTTGGTCATGTGGTTGTCAAGAGATGGCAGAACATTGTTTTTGTGTATGTTTCCTCTGGTAGGACAAGTTCAGAACGGGATCCCCTCATTCTTCTTTCTCGAGAAGATCCTGACCTTGTTGATGCTGAATACACTAAAAATCAAGCCTGGAAATCTGAAAAAGTAACTACCAGTATCCTTTTCTTTCTATTAGAAAAAGAGATTTTTCAGTACAACTATTCTTTAAAAGACTGGCAATAAAAGGGTTCCCACTTTTAGAGCAGACGTATTTGCACTCCTAAGCTGGAGTAACTGCCAATCCTGGTCCTTGTAAGTCCAGTTATTAGCACTGGACCCCCAGTTCAACCCTAAGAATATTTGGGAAGAGGATGAAGAATTCTTTCCTGTTCTGCTTCTCCTTGGGCCTCCTATGTGTAGCCATGAGTCCTGCTTAAATCAGAGGCCAATTCCAACAATGCAGTGTCAGAACAACAGCACAGCTTCAACTTGGGCTCTGGGTTCCTGCTGGGCTAAGGTTGTGTGCAAATGCAGGTGTGACTATTCATGCAACCTTGTGGTTGGGTTGCATTAAGAAAAGAGTGAGCAACATGTGGCTGTCCGGATGCTTTTGCCTACAGGTTATGATGATGGGAGCTGTAATCCAAAACATTTGGAGAGCTCCAAGTTGCCCACATTTGTCTTGTGGGACTAACTCATCTAAGCATGGCAGCATTTAATCATACTTAATGTATTTTTTTGGTATTTATGTTTACTTGGAAGTAAATTCCAGTGAGTCTTTCTTACTTTCAGATAAGTGTGTATAGGATTGTACTCTTGGAAAGTGAATGATCCGTATATTTATTTGTTAAAATTCTGCTAAAATATACTTCAATTTAAAATCTTCTTCTCCATCATCTTCTTCTTCTTCGTCTTCTCTGTCGTCATCTTCTTCTTCTACAAGGACACTCTTGGGAAACCACCAGCTAAGGAAATTCCACTAGTAGATCATTGTAAATATAAGTAAGTAATTGATTCAGTCGGTAATTTCTTACTAATACCTGGGATTATTTCAAAGGAAAGTGAGGGTGTTTGCCCAGTCCCTTGGGCATTTTATATAGCCTTCGTGACTAGCTATGACATAAAGGCAGTCATTTTATAGTAGTGTCCAGACAGAGTCTCAAATTATCAAATGTACCCAACAAACCCCACAAAAGATTTCCCACCTCTACTTAGGTATACGGCCCATTGAAGTAAATGGCGCTTCTTCTGAGTAGATATGAATAGGATCCTATTGTCTGTCTATTCAAACCCTTTCATCTCTCCATCAAAATAAAATAGATACTGGAAAGTTTATAACCCAAGGCTAGGGTATGACATCTCCTCATTTGTCACTAGTTGCCATGTGAAGCTGCCCCATTGCCTTGGTATGGGTTTTGTGATAAAAGAACGGGCTAGTGATTCTTGGCTTGAATTGTGGGCAGCAATATATTAAATGTGTCGTTGCTGTGCAAATGTATTTTCTAAATAATGCCACTTCATCTCCAATTGTACCACCATGAAGTGTTTGTCCACTTCACCCTCTAATAAAATAGCTGTATTATTTCCTGTAATTCAAGAAAGATATTTGGGGAATCTCAAAGAAATATTATATCCCCTGTGTGCAACTGAGTAATATTAAGGCACTGATATAATTATATTCCATAGGATATGCATAGTTGCTGTGGTGTAGGAAGCGTAAAGAGTCTTTCTTATTTCAAGTCCAAGGGGATCTTTGTGGGAGATTTTGGTGCCATATATGTAGATGATGAAACTGAGAATCTGCAGGTGGCGCAGTGGTTTAATCCGCTGTGCTGCTGGGCTGGTTGATTGAAAGGTTGCCAGTTCGAATCTGCACAATGGAGTGAATTCCCGTTGCTCCGTCCCAGCTCCTGCCAACCTTGCAGTTTGAAAGCATGCAAATGCAAGTAGATAAAAAAGTACCACTTCAGTGGGCAGCTAACAGCATTCTGTGCACTTCGGTGTTTAGTCATGCCGGCCACATGACCACGGAGACTGTCTGTGGACAAACGCTGGCTCCCTCGGCTAGGAAACGGAGATGAGCACCGCCCCCTAGAGTCAGGCATGACTGGACGTAACGTCAAGGGGAAACCTTTACCTTTACCTATGTAGATGATGAAACTGAGAATCTAGTATATTAGATGTCTTCCTCAAGATCTCTTGGGAGAAACAAAATAATGCCTGGAATAGAAATTAGGGTCCCTCTGAGTTTGAGGTTCTTATTGATTGTAGTAGTTGTTGCTTCTTTTATGTTTGGATGGTAACTTTTGCAAGTTCCCTTCCTTCTGAGGGACAAACCTACACTGTAGTTTCATATCCCGAGGCACTGGTGGATTTTAAAATCTGAAATATGTTAGAGTTATATAAGTGCGTTTTACAGTATATTCACTTATTTATATATATTTACTGGGAACAAGGATGTAAAACCAGATAGAAAAGTGCTGACACCTACAATTGATGCAACAGGGGAAGCTAATGAACTTTTGATTACTACTTTTGGCTTTGGTTCCTGTATTTTTTCATACAGATTTCATACAAGATTTTTTCATATGTACCTTTGGTTAAGCAGTGCATAGGAAATCTGTTCTCATTCTACAATCATTTTTATCTGAGTATGCTCACAGTACTGCAGAACTTTAAAAAAGTGTACAAACTTTTATTAAATAAAGGGAATGTAAACTATCTTAACCATATCATAACAAGTTTCAAGCCATAGAAAATGTTAGAATTCCATAAACCACATTTATTTATTTAAAATACTTATATGCCATCCTAATCGCAAAAAAGCTTCAGGACGGCTTACAATGTAATAGCATAAATAAAATCCCCGACCCATTTATGGTTTGTGGAATGAAATGTGCCAGTTATTAGAGAAAAAGTACTATTCTAAAATGGCATCTTCCTTTAATTATAGATACCTCTTTAATTTCCGAGGTGTAGCAGCCAGTTTCCGCTTCAAGCACCTCTTTCTTTGTGGCTCACTTGTCTTTCATGTTGGGGAAGACTGGCAAGAATTCTTCTATCCTCAGCTGAAACCTTGGGTCCACTATATTCCAATCAAATCTGATCTCTCTGATGTAAGGTAAGAGGCTGAAGCTGCGATGACTTAATAACCCCTCTGTACAGGAGGATGAGAAGCAGGATTCATATGCTGCCCTATAACAGGCGTTCTCTAGTGATAGTGAAGAAAGATAAATATTGCATCTTTTTATACAACCACAGAACTTGGGTATACTATAAGTACAGTGGTAATAAACTTAATTTTCATATTCTGTGTGTCATTCCAGAGAAAACATTAGAATTAGCAATAAAAGGATGCACATGTCTCATTTTCTCTAAAGGAAGTCCCAAAGGTATATGAACTATTGAAGAAACATTAGATGAACAGGTTGTAGATGCTGAATTGATGCAAAGAACTTGTAAGACCATGTTGCGGGAACATATCCTCTCTACACAGCTTACAAAAATAACATAAACAATTCTAATACTGTATTCTGCAGACACAAATTACAAAGAATGTTCCAAAAGCCAATGAGCAGAAGAACAAATTAACTCTGTGTCAGGAAGCTTAATAGCACTCTTCTGATCTGTATACACTGTGCTAACTTGTCACCTTTGTTTCAGGGAGCTGTTGGCGTTTGTGAGAGAGAATGATGACATAGCCCAAGAAATAGCGGAGAGGTGAAGTTTTTGTTAACTATAAGCAGTGGTATTGCTAGACACTTACAGGAATTTAGCCAGAGGACTGCTTTGAGAATAACGAAATGTTCCTATTTGCAGAACTGCTAATTTTATATGTTTAGCTGCAAATTTAGAAATAAATTTATTTCTAATTATTACAATGTACTTGAATGTCATAGGAGGCAATCAGTCAGTGTTTCTACCAAATCACACCACATATTATTCAATTTGCCCTCTTCCAGATTATATCAAGAATCAGTAATTTCTCTTCAGTTAATTTTCTGCTCAGATCCTCTGCCAAATCAAATTATCTTTCTGTTGATTATCCAACCCTACGTTTAAGCTGGAGGAAAATATGAAATACTTTAGATGGGGATCATGGAAATTATATGCCCCGCAAAATTACTGAGTACGTTTCATGAAGTGATGTTCCCACTGCAGAGCACCAGAAATAATGATTGGCCAGAGCTGAAGGATTTTAGACATTTATGGCCTTTCTGAATGGCTGGTAAAACCATGATCCAGATAACCCAAATTCTTTTTACAGTGTTTTCAAACCTAAAACATTGGTGCTAAGACTAGTGCCTTGCTGTGTTGTAGCTTGCCCTTTGCTAAGAACACAATGAAGCTGAGTCTCAAATGGGTGTGCTTGCTCTAGAGAAAGGAACACTGTGTCTGTTTATAGCCTGCACATAACACTGGTCTACAAGGAGAAAGCCTCAGAAATGAAAGTAGCTTAAGTTTACCAGAATTGGGTCATAATAAGGGAAAATTAAGTCCTGAGTATTAATTGGCTCCAGTTTCTAAACTACAGGTTCAGGTCAAAATTGCATCAAAATAATTCAAAATTACGAGGGGGATGTGCAATTATGCTTCATAGCTTTTCTGCAAAATGTGATATAGGAATGAGAATGGTGCCACACCAGTCATTATAAATTTATCTTTTTATTGATACCAATAATATAACTTTCCATTGATTTATTGGTTTTTCATGTAACATGGTCATGCTTTTTGCATGAAAGACTGACAAGCTCTAACATCAGATTAAACAACAAAGTTCCATCTTTATTCAGTATCTGCGCTTTTTGGCTTTTCTCTTGTGAACTGCAGTAGGATCATCCCTGGAGAGATTCCAGCACTAACGGGCAAGCATGGACAGATTCCATTTCTCCATGCCTGCAATATCCTGGTGGAATCTCTCCCCATGCTCATCACTTCCTGCCCCATAGTTTCAGTGACATGTTTGCACCAAGTGCTTTATAGGACCTAAGCAAATTTTCCACGTGTTTTTCATAGTCATCTGCCTTACTGTTCCTGAGAAACTCCAACTATGATTGGTGTGTTCCCTCCACACCATTGGGACTGTGAAAGGCATAGGCTTTTTCTTTTGTAGACCAGTGTAATAGTTAGGAAAAAACTAAAGATTCGTTATATGGTGGGGCACTTTGAGAAGAACAGAAGAAATAGACTTCTAGTTCATTTCTTTGAAGAAGAACAGTTCTGAAATGGGAAGGTATTCATGCAGATCACTAGTTAGTTTAACATCCTTCGCCAGTCTGGTGCTGTCCAGATATTTTGGATTGAATTCCCATCAGCCCCAATTAGTATTGCCAGAATCCTGAGTGCTAGAGTCCGAACCTGAAGAGCACCAGGTTGGGAAAGACTAGTCTAGAAATTTGCAGTGGTTAATTGTGATCACATCTGACACAGCAATCCTAATAGCAATGGATGTGTTTCCAATGCAGATATCACATTTCCCCATACACAGGAAACCTTGCCCGCTAAAAGCAAAGCCTTTTAAGAAGATATGACTGCTAATTACATTAAAGATAGCAAATGCCTCTTGCTACATATGCTAGTGATTGGACAGAAAAGCCCTTAAATGCACAACTGTTCAGCTCTTGATATCAGCATCCTACTTGGATGTCATGTATTGATGTTATTTGCCACCAGTGGGAAGCAGTTTGCTGTTCTTTGCACAGCAACCACCCACTAAAACAGTTGAAGTCATAATCCTGATAGGCAATCTTACCCATATTTTATTTTTAAATAAGAATTCAACTATTTTATGGTAGACGTGTGCTATAATCATAGAAGAATCCTGTTGCCCCTTAAAGATGGACAAAGTCATCCATCTTTAATTTTGTTGAGATTGAGCAAAGATGTCTGCAAAAGTTTGCTGGAGCACATTAACACTTATGTCAAAATACATTTATTATATATTTCATGTGACTCAAAATTTTACCCTGCAACTGGATAGCAGAGTACCACTACTGGAAATTGTCACTACAAACATACCTGAGTTATAGAGTGGTTTAGCTATCATGGCTTCCCTTCTGAGATCAGTTTAAATTATGAGAAATTTCTGTTTGTAATCCCTATTTTTACCTCCCAGAACTGCTCTTCTTTAGGGGAGATGCACTGTTTATTAAGTCCCTTTTCATCTGCATGGGAAATACGTACTTAAAGCATCCCCTGAGTTAGAAAAGCAACTAACAGTAGGCATCTTCTTTGCTTGTCTGTCTTACCTCTAGGGGTCGCCAATTCATCATGGATCACTTGCGGATGGAAGATATCTCTTGTTATTGGCATAGACTTCTGACAGAGTACTCCACAGCTCTGACTTACAAAGTTCAACGAAAGAGTAACTACAGTGAAATTCTTCCCAAACACTTGAAAACAGAACTGTAACTGCCATTCTCTTTCCAGTTCAGTACCAGGGCTTGTGGACATTATGAAATCCAAAGAACAGCACTGGTTTTGTTCAACAGAAATTCTGTGTTTCATGCTGCCAAACTAGAGGGAGAAAAAAATGTATTACTGTCACATACTGTATTAAAATGCCTGGTCAGATCCAAAATTACAGAAGAATTCAAGTAAGTCAGAAGAGCCCATGTTTCACCAAGTTCTAGTGGTGCTCTGCTTTTGAAGGTTTTCAGAAAGAAGAATTGTATTGGGAGTAAACTGATGTTAAGCATTGATTCACTTGAACAAAACTAGTTCAATGGTCTGTGAATCATCTCCTGAATCTTCACAATGCGACATTCAGACCTATGTCTGTTTAGTGTCAGGGTGCTAGTGTATGAGGCCCACAGTATACCATAGCAAAATAGCTTCAGAAAAAACATCTTAATATGCCCTCAAATGTTACTTGATCTAGAAAGGGATTATGATATGTCCAGCTCTGCAAATGTACAGAATAGGGATTGCATGTGTAAAAGGCTCCAGGTAGGATCACAGTAAGGTGTCCCATTGGGTTGGACTAACAGTGCATCTGGTCCCGCATTCTGCAAATGACTAACTGGATGGTGCCCAGGAATTTATAAGCAAGATGTGAGGACAACATCTCTCTATCATTGTCTGTCCTAGTTCAGGCATACCAACTGAATTCAGACCTGGCAGTAAGCCCTGGGTTCAGATGCTCCCTTTCACGCCTCACACAGGCTGCTTGTGTGTATCACCATTTCCTGGTTTAATCATATCATACTTTGGGCTCAGTAAGTCAGTGGCAAAGAACATACTTTGCATACAGAAGGTCTCCAGTTCAATCCCTGACATCTAACATTATGAAAGTATGCAAAGGGTAGCAGATGATGGAAAGGCCTCTGCCTGAGACAATGGACAGCTTCACCCAGTTAGAACAGACAGTACTGGACAAGAGGGAAAGATGATCTGCCCTGATGCAAGGCAGCTTCCTATGGTCCTCCTGGGTCTTAGTTTGCTGGTTTGGATATAAAATGCATGTTGAGTGTTTTTTCCCTGCCTTTTTGATAAAATTGTATGTATTTTTTACAAGGTTGAAGTATGACTTTCCTTCAGTATCCTTTGAGAGCTCCTCTATCAAAATGTGGGTAATATGCAGATTATTGCATTTTAACCCACACTTCTAAAACGCACAGGGTTCTATTCATGGGGGTGTTCCCCATACTTTATCTCTACTCCAGTCCTATCAGGCAGGTTATGCTGAGAGGTGGTGACCACCCTAAGATCACTTACAGTGCAGTCCTGAACAAGTTTGTTCAGAAGTAAGCCCCTGTGAAGAAATGAGGGCGGGGGGTGTTAAAGGTTTAACTGTTACATTTTGTTTCAATGATTGAAGAGTTTAAGTAATAGAAAAAATGTATGTGATGTCCTTTACACAAGCCTGGAGCCTGAGAATTGATGCATTGTAATGTTCTAGTGCAGGGATGGCAAATCTTTTAGAGACTGAGTGCCCAAACTGCAACCCAAAACCCACTTATTTATCACAAAGTGCCAACACTGCAATAAAACTTGAATACTGAGGTTTTAGTTTAGAAAAAACAACTCACAGCCAGTCTAAGCAAATATATATTTATAGCCTAGGCAGCGCATTGACCTGCCATACAAAAGCTCGGACGAGTCGCGGCTAATGAGTTGCAGCTCGTGATGTCATTGCCTGGCACTGCTACTCCTTTCTGAGCATGCGCATGGCCCCTGTGCGCACTGTTATCCGATGCTTGGCTGCTGGGGCGATGCTGGGGCAACTTGGCTCGTGTGCCAACAGAGAGCGCTCTGCATGCCCGCTGCAGCACATGTGCCATAGGTTTGCCACCACTGTTCTAGTGAAATGGCAGTTACTGTTACCACTGGGAATGGAATGAGACCACATTTCCATCTTCATAGAAGGGAAAGTAAGCATCAAAGCTGGTATCACCTGGCTGGGGAATAATTGAATGTTCTGAAAATGCCCATTGGTCCTAAATTTGAACAGAGGTGCTGAAATAGAATGTTGACCACACCAAAACTGATTGGCCGGAGTTTCTGACTATATCAAATATAAACAGCTGTTGAGAGGCATCTTCAGGAGTTTTTGCCTCAGGGACAGTTGTCAGGAGGTGTCTTCATGAGAGCCTGGAGAGTCTGAGGAAGGAGCCACAAGACCGGAGAGTCTGAGCCGGCAGCCACAAGACCAGAAAGGCAGTCTGAGAGCTAGGGGCAAAAGCTGAAGGTCTGTAAGTGAGAGGAAGATCTCTAGAGCAGCCTTGAGGAGAAAGAGGTGAAGCAAATGGTAGCAGTGTTCTGAAGGCAGAGTAGGTGCTAGACCAAACTGAAGACCTCAGGGGAAACCTGGTGAACAGTCTTAAAGTTTCCAGCTGGAAATCAAACCCTACCAGAGAGAAAAGTAGCATAGCTATGCTTATGAGCTAACTGGGGAGGTGCTGGAATGGGGAACTGGCTTAAGTTACATTAAGGTTAGGATCTCGGCTTGTAATACTTGATTGCAGGCAACAGGAACACTATAGAAGTCCTGCTTTGAAAGGAACCATATAGAAATGTTATTTGTAAAGTAACAGCAAACTTAATAAGTGTTCTTGTTTATTTCTTTTTAATAAAATACTATATTTCTTTGTTCACTTCCCTTATATTTCTGATGTCTCTCTCATGCCTAATGAAAAGCTACCTTAGGAAAAAGGAGTATATTTATAGAGAAGTGTAGATTTGTGGTGGCAACAAAAGTAAAGGCAAGGATTTCCTTTTAATGGTGAGTAGTGCCTGTAACAGTAGGAATGTCCCTGTAAGAAGAGATGTTCCTCAACATTTGGTCTTAGAGATGAGTTGGCCCAAGAGCAGAGGGTCCTATGTTAGGTTCCCTACAGCCCTATTGCAACCTTATTGAGCAGAATGGGGAATTAAATCCAGTTCTTGTCAACACTAGGTAAAACAGGGCAGTATGTGGGTGATAGGATATCCCAGTTCTGCCTCTGTACTAACACTGGCCTACAAATTTTGGGAAATTATTGACCTCAGAGATAAAGTGTGCTAATTCTTGTATATTTTGGTTAGATGAATTAGAAAACAGGTGATAAAGGTGCTGGTTGGCTAAAGTTTTCAAGATATTTCACAATTAATATTTATATACAAGTTTATATGTGTAAAGATTTATATATTTGCCTACAAGGGAGGGAGGTGTCTGATGATCATGATGCTCTTTGATTATAGTAATCAACCTTCCATGCCACTGCAAAAGTAAAAATTTCAATGCCTTGAAGCAAACGAGAAAGCCAAACCATTCCACAAACAGGTAGTCACATTGGAATGGTCTCCATGTTGGAAATAAGCAACAGTGGAGGTCCTGGTGGGTACCCCTGCACCTGCAGACAGCAGGTTGCTGGCCTCTGGCATATACATAGTCCACTAGATGTGCAAAATACTCCTACAATTTCTCTAAAATGCTGATTATCTTCCTCAGTCTACCTATAGGTATAGCAAAAAAAAAAAAAATGCCCTGGCAGTCAAATTTTGAAGACACTGGGTAGGAAAGAACACATTGGGTAGGGAAGAACAGTTGACTCAGTCTGTGAAAGAATTGCAATAGGAAATAAAACAAAGTGGTTTGGGAGGAGATGATGAGTAAAAGATGACAAGATTTTTTAACAGGATAAATTTATTTCAAGTGAAGAAGAATAGTCTGGTGTATTATAAAACTCTGTTATAGCTTTAAATGAAGAGTTTTTCATTAAGACGGGGAAGATTTTCCAAATCCAGAAAAACAAAGGGCCTGAGCAGTTGACAGATGTTCAGTTCCATGTGATGTAACACATTGTGTATGCCTTCTCTTTTGTTTACAGCTGTGATGTTGCCCAGACAGCTGATGAGGGAAGGAATAAAATGGAGCAACTGTAGGATTATTACATGATTCTCATTATTACAATTTGGTAATTGGACTGGTTATACATTGGTAACTTCAGGCAACAAGTTCTTGTTACCTAAGAAGGAAAGTTCCATGCCACTCCAAGTAATAAGCTAATTTGTAATTAGTAAAATTATAAGTTAGTATTTTTGGATCTTAATTATCAATAAAAGAAAAAGTTATCAACAGTGAGACTCATGTACAAGGTTTTATACTATCTTCAAAGTCACTTTTACAGTGTTACAAATAAAATGAATTTTTCACTTTATCTGTATAAATAAAATACATCTGTTCAATTGGGACTTTTGTTTATGTGCATATGTTTGCATATTTTTACCTTAGTAATGTCACATTTATTTATATAACCATCTATTAAAGGTCAAGCTGTTATGGATTTCCAAGGATTGTTTTAATGAATTTTCATTATGAACCTGTGCATTTTCTACTTCCTTTTTTGTGTGAATTCGGTTGACACCATATGCTCCTACTGTAACCTAGTTAAATGCCTGTTCCAGCTGCTTTTCTCAGCATGGATTTAAAAAAATTCTCTCTGTGAGAATAACTAGGCCTCGGCAAAGAAACATCTTGGATTTGAGCAGGTCAACAGGGCTTAGTAGCATAAAGCTACTCTATGTACTCATGGCTGAGGATGTGTTCTATCAAAAGAAGCTGCTCATATGTGCACTGGTATGTGCCACAAATATACCAGATCTTGTATGAGTTTGCATATTTTGTGTGACACTGATTTCATTAGCAGACTATTTGCACATACAGAGGGTGGGGAGGGTTGAGTTCAAGTTAGGTCCAGCATTTCAACAGAACCAGCAAGAAGCTGCAGCTTGGATAAGAAACAGCTTCAGAGCCCAGACTGTTGACCTCAATGTACACTAAAACCAAGGAAAATATTTATGGCCCCATATTGAATATATTTGAGCATATTGAAATCACTTCAATAAAAGGCTGCACAGGGGATCTATTAAAATATAAGACATAGTAATAACTACATTGTACTTAATAAGTCTGCATGCCCTCTTTACATCTGTGCATAATGCATTCTTCAACACTGTGATGAGCTAGTGATAGCTGTGTACTTATGTGTGAGTCTAGGGTTGGGCATCTACTCACAGGAATGTTTCTAAAATGAGTGAAAGCTTTATTCATACAATATTCTGATTGTGATAAACTTTCATAATCCTAATCATCACCAAAGAAATTTTGTTTTTCAACCAGAATTCTACATTTCAGGTTTTCCTACATTGGCATTTTTCAGCTCCCATTTCTTTTTAATGTCTGAAGCATTCTGAAGTAAAGTGCTGCCACCACTACATTTCCTGTTATAAAAATGTTCGCTTTCCTTATTAGGTGAAGCTTGGGTTCCCCTAATAAGCCAGGGTTGGATGGGGAACCTAACTATGAGCCTTTTTTCTGTACACGTTGAAACACTTGTGAAAAGGATTTCTGTTTCTGAGTTACCTTTTCTACTTTCAGTGTTTTTAAAAGGCCTTATTTTCAATGAGTAAAGGGTTAATAGCCAGCCCTACCATGAGGCGCAGCAAGGCAGCTATTGGGGCAGATGATTCTGAGTGCCAAGGAAAGGCAGAAAATTGCATTTATTTGGTTTTATTGTATTTTTATTACCAGGAGGGAGCTGGATTTTCTGCTTCCAGTGCCAGTATGTCACAGCTTGTCTTGGCAGCAAAAGTGAACATGTGACTTTTATGTCCATTTCTTGCACATCCAGGTTGACAGAGAAAGGATGGCATTCATATTCCATTGCAGCAGGCTCAAGCACATCTTGCAACAGAGGTTATACTCCCTATGCAAGAAGTGCAAAACTCCAACAGTTTCCTGATATTTTCTTTTTTGGGATGTATAACTGTGTATCAAAGCATACTACTGCTTCAATCCTATACTTGCTTACTTTGGAGTAAATCCTGTTGATCCCAATAGGGCTTGCTTCTGAGTGATCATGGACTGGATTGCACTGTAACACTATGTTCAGACAGGATATTAAAACACTGTTGTCTGATGCTCTCATAGCATTTGTGCCATGAGTGAATCTTGGGAAAGAACATGTACCTGATAGATACCTGGATGTTACATTCCCATTATAGGATATTTCCAAACAGACAAGCAGGGTAAGCCATTTACTATTTACTAATTATTAATTAATCTTATAGACCGCTTCAATAGTCCTACCAGAGTCTTTCAGCGGTTCACAATCACAATATAAAAATAGATGCGAAAACAGTTAAAACAATATGCATATAGAAATAGGTATAACAAATATAGCTGAAAGTATTAATCAAAGTGTGGTGAATTAAAATCATTTAAAAATTCTTTTAAAATCATTACTATCAAAGTCAATTATTAAAGTATCTGGGGAATAAAATAATTTGCCTAGTGCCGAAAAGATCATAATGAAGGTGCCAGGCAAACTATTCTAGAGAGGCTATTCCATAGGTGGAGCATAATCACTGAAAAGGCCCCACTTCTGTTTGTAATCCTCACCTCCTTAGAGGATGGCTGTTTCATAAGGGCCTCTATTTTTGCTCAAAAATAAATCCTACTGTGTTCAACTGGCCTTACTTCTATGTGAGAACAAACTGCAGCTTTATATTGCTCTAAGAATATATTTTAGTGACCCATTACTTTGGAATACTCTTAACTGGGAAAATAATATGATTAATAGAATTTGCAGTGGAATTTCAAATATCAGCTCAGCCATAAATTTAGAGGCAGGGCATTAGTAAGTCTAAAGTTCTTAGCTTCCTACTTATAAAATGTAAATAATACTGTCCCTACTGGCTTATAACAGTTATTTTCAAAGAGTTACTGAGATAATGTAATAAAAGTATATGGGGATTTTAAAGAAAATTATTTCCTTAATTATGAAAATAATTATGCTATTTTTCATATGCAACAGAAAGCCCATGTAGGTTTTAACACTTGAACTCTGGATGTGAGATCTGTAAATTATTCAGGGTGTAAACTTATGCATGTCTAGACAGAAAAACATTCTACAGAGGCCGCCCCCCCCCCCGTTCCCCAGTCTATGCATGCACAGGATAGCACCCTTGAAGACTGCTTAAAAACAAAGGCACATTGGATTGGAGAGTCCTCACAAAAACCTCGGTAGCATTCTTTCAAAAAAAAATTCTCAGACTACTCAAATCCATCTGCAATAAATGGTGGTTTAAAAATCGCGCACTGAACCCCACACATGCAGAGAGATGTTGCAGGGAAAAGCCTGCACGGTTCTCATTAGCAGGAATACTGATTGACTGACTACCGAATAGACAGGAGGAACGGAACTGCAGTCGATTAGGTGCAGGAAACCTGGTGACCTCCTGCTGTTTCAGAATACAATTCCCATATGCCCTGGCCACTATGGGTGGGCTGATGGGAACTGTAGTCCCAAACAGGTTGTCTGCACTTGTCCTAGAGAAGCAGGGTGTCTTTTTCATGAAGTAAACCTCGAACACGCAACTCCTTAGATTCTGCTGCAAGTTGGAGCAGGCATATCGGTGGAAAGGCTCCCAGCGGCTTCCATCGTGCACAAGTAAGGACAACTGGAGGCCGGCTCACACAGTCTCGCTCGATTGAAAAACAAGTGAAGATGCGAAGCGTCCTCCAGGACGACAGGGCTGCGCTCTCCTGTTGCGTCTTGTTCCGGTGCGGCTGGGGGGACGAGCGGGAAATCGAGCCCGAAGTGCTGCAGGAGCAATGGAGAGGCCGCCCAAGGGGCCGGGGGCAGGACTGCTGCCCCTGGTCTGGGCAGAGGAAAGCGTCGGCTCGGCCGCCGCAGCGCCGCAGCCCTCGTTTCTGGGGCAGCCCGAGCCGCCGCGTTCGGGTTGGGAAAGGCTCCGGGCAGTCTTCCGCCGCGAGTGAGTGAGAGGCTCCCTGAGGTCTGTCGCCGGCAGGAGGGACTGAGCAGCCTCCTTCCCCTTGACCTTCCCAGGTGCCGGTAGCGCGTGGCTGTGCTCGGAGACTTTCCGCGGGCCAAAACAGACCTGGCACGTGTCTAGCAGCTACGTCGCCTGCTCTTGCCCCTTTATTCTAGAGTACGGTCAAGGAGAGTTAATTCGAATCGGAATTCTAGTTTGGTGGGGGGGGGGTGAGCTTTCAAGATCCGGACTGGGGGTCTCCGTGCCTTGACTAGAATAAAGGCAAAGAGGAAGACGTGGTTTCATGTTTGAAGTTATGTCGGTTTTGGCCCTGTATCCTAGGTGGACCTCCACGTGTCTCAAGGCTCGGGTCTAGGATTGACACAGGCTCCCGGGCTTAAGCTCACTGCTGCTGCCTCTTGAATCCTTGGCCTCGCATAAACCGTGTTTTGTATCATACAGAAAGTCTAAGTACCTGGTGTCACTAAGCAGTGAGCAGGCAAACGAATACGTTGAATTTGCATGAGTGAGCCCTTTTAAATGGGTATTTGTATTAACAGAGTGGTGGGATTGTGAATGTGTATTGTCTGTGCTATGCGTGCATAAGGTCCTAAAATAAAAGATTCCCTGTGACACATGATGCATCTTAATTCTGAAATGCAATGAACTGTGTTAAATTTCAAAGGTTGAAGGCAGTTGAGGTTATCTTGAACACGTCACTGTGGTTTAACATTGCATGAATGAACCTCAGGATTATGTGCTACTCTGTCTTCCGACTTCTACAAAGCAAACAAATGTGTGAAAAGGGAGGTTCCAGAGCAGAAGCAGCAATTTCGTTTGATGCATTCAGGTAGCAGCTACGAGCTGACCCCTGCCTTGCCCTGCCAACTCTTGAGTAAGAAAAGCCAGCCAGGGAAAGGTTCCATTTTGTCCACCACAATCAAAGCCATTTAGGTGCCCTGGCCACTCAGTTGCCAAACATTAGCCTTTCTTCCAAGTATTGATCTGCAGGGGTAGCAGCAAATTGTTTGGATGGGCCTACCTATCTATGGAGCTTCAGAGTTAGCTACTTGTTATACTCATTCCAGTGTGCTGCTACACTTGCATTAGTAGTGTACAGTGCTTTGTAAAAGTATTTACCACCTTTGAATGTTCTGCACTTTGTTGTGTTGCAGCTTGACATTGTAATTGATTTAATTGGCATTGTTACCACTTGCACATGAGATATTCAACACTGAAGATACAAAGTAACTTTTATTTTGTTAAGGAAACAAAATCAAGCTGACATTGTTGATAGCATAATTATTCACCCCCTTAGCCAAGACTTGTTAGAAGCATGTTTCGTAACAGTTAAAACTGCTGGTCTTCCTTGGTAAGTCTCTGTAAGCTTTATACATCTGTATCTCTCACTATTAACCTGTTCTTCCTGGCAATAATGCTGTAGCTCTGGTCAGGTTGGTTAGGGACCACTGGTGAATAGTAACTTTCAAGTCTTGGTACAGACTCAATTGGACTGAGGTTCTTAAATTAGACTGAGCCATTCTGAGACACTGAGGATCTTGTTTTGAAACCATTCTAGAGTAAACTTTGGTCATTGTTCTGCTGGAAGGTGAATTCTACCTTAGCCCTAGGTCCCTTGCAGATCAAAACACGTTTTTTTTCTAAAATTGTCCAGTATTTGGCCCCATCTATCTTGATCTCAATCCTGAGTCCTTGCTGCAGGAAAAGCATTCTCACAGCATTGTGTTCTCATCATCTAGCTTCACTGTAGAAATAGTGCTCTTAGAAAGATGAACAATGCTGGCCTTGTGCCACACACAACTTTTCAGCAAGGCCAAAAAGTTCAGTTTTGGTCTTATCAGACCAGATAATCTTTTCCCATGTGTTTGCTGTTTTCCCTCTGGGGTATATTCATAATGTGGGATATCTTTTTTATAACCCACAACTTTTCCTAGTGTTTTTTTAAATTTCTCCTTGGTCTTCATTGATGCTGTTTGTTAAGTATGTTGTTCAACAAACTTGGGGATCTTACAGAAAAAGTATATTTACTATGAGATCAGAGGAAACTGAACCTACACACAGGTGGACTCCCTTCCAGAACTTAGAGTATGTGCCTTCTGGAAGCAGTGGGTTGCACCAGAACTTACTTGGGCATGTCTCAGCAAAGGGGCTGATACGTAATACAACCAACAACTGCCCATTTGTTTTCATTGACTTATTTTTGTGCCACAGTAAAAATATTTTGCACTTCCAAAGTGTGGAGTATCTTGCATATATTAAGTGGAAGTAATGCCAATTTAATCCATTCCAGTTCCAGGCTGTAGCACAACTAATTGTGGAAAATTCAAACAAGGTGAATACTGCAAGGCACTGTATGTGTTGGAAGACTGTAGCCCTGTTCAGGTGCTCAGTAAATGCCCATTGCTCTCTCTGTGTAGAAGATAATTGTCTGAAGTGGAGAGCCCTTTCTGTCCATGGGGGTTCTCCGCTCAATCCAGAGCATGGATTATCCAGCATTCCAGGTTACATGGAATGCCCCTGCGAATAGAGGAAGTTCTCTGTTTCCATGTGTACAGAGTGATAATGGAGAGCGGAACTGGAGTGCCACGGTTCCTTGCTTGTTCAGACTGCATTATTTATTTATTTATTTATTTATTTAGAAAATTTCTATGCCGCCCCATTCGCCGAAGCCTCAGGGCGGCTCACAACATAAATCAATTAAAATAATATAAATTAACAATATAAAATAAGTTAACAATATAAAATAAGTTAACAATATAAAATAAGTGGCCCTGGCCAAAGAATAAAATAAATAAATACTATTAACAGTTAAAATGACGTTTGAATAAAAAGGTCTTTGCCTGGCGCCGAAAAACAAATGATGGCACCAGGCGGACCTCTCTGGGGAGCGCATTCCATAGATTGGGCGCCACCGCAGAGAAAGCCCTCCTCCGAGTACTCACCCTCCTAATTTCCTTCACGGAGGGTTCCCGGAGAAGGGCCTCTCCCGCAGAGCTCAGGGGGCGGGCGGGCGGGCATATATGGACGTGCGTATATGCATGCTTTCTGAACACCTGGATGGGACTTCTATGATGCTAAACAGTGGGAAGTTAAAATGTGTAACAAAAGCTTGTGATTTCTTTTATGGACATACAGGAGAGCTGAGTGGGGAGGGGACAATCTGAGATGCACTGACACAATTTTCAGCTACAGTTTAGCTTTGCATCAGAGTGCAGCTGCTGACTGACACATTTCTCAGTGCGAACATGTGGTTGCTAAAAATCACTTTCCTAGTTATTTTGTGAGGTTTGCGGACATTTGGCCTCTACTGATGTTTGATACTATATTTCTGAAGAATAATGGAGGCTTCATAGAAATACCTTCATGTAGACAGTTGCTGAAGACTGGAAGTTCATGAAGAATTTTTTTTCTTTTACAGTGAACAAAAACAATACCCAGAGGAAATTCTCAACATATTCAAAGCAACATTTTCAGGGAGCATTATTGGTCTGTTTTATGGAGGTATACCTGGTTTTCTGTATGCCAAAAGACGATACATTGAGCAGAGTGAAGGAACGATTTACTATAATCATCTGGATGCTGTGGTATGGCCAATTATCTGGCAGGGTAGAGCACATACTGAATTCAGTTTCTAGATAGTTTTTTTTAACCTGCTTCTTTAATTGGAGTCTATTTGCTTAATGACTTGCATGTGGAAAGAACCACCACATATCGGATACCACACATAAAGATTAAATATTGTCTCAGATAATACCTGTTCACAGACTCAACTCTGAGTCAAGTACTAAAAATCAAGTAATAAAAAAGCAAGTTAAATGTGCACATGCATGAATTGATCTTTAATTCTGGCAACATTGAAGCCACCTTAGCTGTTTTCTGTTCAAGGGTTTAATCCAATAAAAGCTCAAGGAGGATGTGCATGCCTGTCTTCAATGAAGTAGACCAGGGTCCTCCAACTTTGTGAACAGGGGGCCAGTTCACTGTGCCTCAGACTGCTGTGGGGCCAGACTATAGTTTGAAAAAAATATGAAGGAATTCCTATGCACACTGCACATTAAAAATTAATTAAAATTAAAATTAATTAAAATTAAATTTAAAATTAATTAAAATTTAAACATATAATTAAAAAATGTTTGCTTCGCCTGCAGCAGAAGCCCAAGATGAGGTGGGGAAGAGCATGTCCATATTCAAGGGACATAGCTACAATGTCTGCGATCATATGGGGGCGGGGGGAGAAATGGGCGCAATCATGCTGTGGTGGGGAGACAGATGTGTTCGCACTTGTGCAGGGAAGACGGGTGCAATTGCGGGTGTGCTCATGCAGGGAAGGTAGGTGCAGTCACGCCCGTCTTCCCTTCATGAGCATGACCGCGATCGCGGCCATCTCCCCACTGAGTACACCTGTGCCTGCTCAGAGCTTTTGGACTCACTCAGAGATTGTTTTCTCTGAACAAGGCCAAAAGGTTTGAGGCGGGCTGGATAAATAAGCATGGCGGCCCATATCTGGCCCACGGACCGTAGTCTGAGGACCCATGAAGTAGACCCATACATGCATAGGGCAGCTCTGGGCTCTACAAAGTTGTCTGCTTTCATCTTCTAGGTAAATGCTTATGCCTAGATAGGAGATCACACTAGCAGGCCTCCTTTTCCATTTACATGAAGAATGGTGCATATCTGAAGTCATTCAGGACATAATATGTAGTATACCTGGAATATAATAATAATAGTCATATTTTTATGGTAGAACTGCACTTTCTGGTTTCCTCTGCAGCGATCTGTACATCAGGCAGCAATGCGGGGCTTCATCCGGTATGGGTTTCGATGGAGCTGGAGAGTGGCTGCCTTTGTGGCAATATTCAAGTAAGTGACCGTGTTGTTAGTTAGGGAGGGCGTCAGTCTGCAATACACCAGATATGTTACAGGTGGAAAGGAATTCTCCAGTATTACCTTTGTCACAAATGAGCAGTTACTTATAAATCGAGACAGCTTAATATAATCTGGGTTGTCTTTGTTCACTTTTCTTCTGATGGTACAGAAGATGGTACAGAACTGTACAATGGTACAGTTGTCCTACCTCTTTCCTAGCAGCATATCCTTATAAAAGCCGGAATAGCCTTTCCTACCCCTCACAAAAGAGACTTGGTCTACATTTTGAGAATCCTGGTTGCCCACTCACTCTCAGCCCAACCTACCTCTCAGGGTTGTTGTAAGGCTGATTTTGTTGCTGTATATATCCTTTCTAGCCCCTCTGAAAAGAGCTGTTAGTTACATAGAAATATGCATAGTTGAGACTGGTACCATTTGGTAGAGGTAACCTTTCTGTACCTTTAAATGTCAAATCTAACTGGCTTAAATGGGGAAACCCCAAGGCAGACATTTTTACTGATGAGTTGTTTTATTGCTCACCGTTTTTTCCCTTTTCTGAGGAACACCCCTCTTCTCCAAGAACAACAACCCTGTGCGGTAGGTGGGTTAGTTTGAAGAGTGAGTGACTGGCCCCAAGTCACCCAGTGAGCTTCATAAAATCTCTTATGTCTTCAGTCTGGCATTCTAATCAACCCATCACACTGCACTGGATATTGCTGCTCCACATATGTATCAGTATTTCTGTTTTGGGGGCTTACTGTCAAAAGGAGCCTGCAATAGCAGCAGCGGCCCCAAGACAAGAAGCCGTGGAAACACCTAGTAGCAAGATTGCGAAGGGATGATGTAACTTCTATTGAACCTCGCTTGTCCAATGCCCTTGCCAAGGATGTTGTGTGTTTGGCATCCTCATTACTTGTATTCTGCTACCTGGTTAAAACATTTTTAATAGCTGATTATTTTATTATACCATTCTTGGTGCTTTTTTGCTTTTATGCTCTCCTGTCTGGTATAGTACATTATTTGGATTTTATCTTGGTTATTGGATTTTACAGTTTTAACGATTTTATGGTGATTGTTTTAGTTCTCTCTGTGAGCTGCCCAGAGAGCCTTCAGGCTATGGAGTGGCATACAGATATAATTAATTAATTAATTAATTAATAACAGGTGCAAACTAGAAACATACAACATTGTTTTATTAAGCTGTGTATGTTGTAACAAATGGGTACCTGAAACCATTAAAAATTCTGAAGTGGTGTTGTAATGAAAAGTATCATTGGCAATAGGAAGATCCTTGATATTCTTAAACATCCTGGGTATGCTGTCAGCTGTTGAAGAAATAGAACTGAATTAACATTTGCATCACTTGAGAGCAGCTGGCCGCTTCAGAAGCAATGAGATCATAGTTAAAAATAGGAATTCCCTGGCATATGATACCAACATATTGATTGAAAGGGGACTCAATAATGTTGTGAGTGGAGCCGGCTAGAGCCAGGGGTCAGATTAGATGGCCTGGGAGGCCCCTTCTGACCCGCTCTGTTTCTATGACTCTCCATTCCACAGTTTGGTGGACTACCATAATTTTGTAAGATATCCATGTGGTCAACCTTTTCATACATTATGACTTACACTTTTTGAAGCACACTTATCTCTATTGAACAGAGTGGCCTGATTCTCATAACTGAACAACCCACCATGGACAGCAAACCATGGTTAGTTGTTGTGCCATACAATCCAGTTCACCTATGGTGGCTTTTTTTTTAAACAAGCCAACTTTAGAACCCATGGACTGTTCTAGGAGTTACCCATGGTGGGCTGGCATGCTGTCTGATCCTAGAGAACTGATTCCAGTGTCAGTGCTAGCAGCTAGCAATGCACTTGCAAAAGTGGAAGAATACTCTGACTGGTCTTCTTGAGCTTGTCCTGGCCACTTCCTGGGCCAGCTGCCTCACAAGTGCCCAAGCAGCACTTCAGGCTGGCTGATACTGGCGTGCTGTACTTTTTGCCACAATGGAAAACTGCTTTGGCTCCCCACAGGTTTTCTCCATTTTAATTTTTGTCCTGGTGATAGTAAAAGCCTGTTTAACACATTTACTATTGCACAACTGCAGCTAAAACTTTTTTTAAAAAATAATGCCACCTATTCATACTTTTAAAAAAATGCAAACAAGGTTCTTACAGGCCTTGCAAGGTGCTACTCAGATACTTTGAAAGGTTTGTCAGTGGCTGCCCAAACAGGGACGCCAAAGATGATTGTTAAACCAGCTTTCACAGTCTCCAGGGAAAAAAAGTTTACAGAAAGTCACAAGGAGATGAACTTTGCTCTTGATGATGGGGTGGGAGATGTGACTCAAGCTTGCCATGGTATTTCCTGGGATATAATGCCTGTAGGACTGATGGGGATGGAAAGAGTGAACAACCTATTATGCGTATGGTCATTTGTTGAGGCTGTAGTGGATTGTTGCCAGAACAACCAGTCTATCATGACTTATTGCCAGTGTGGGTTGTCATGATACAAGTGGCCAAAGAGGGAACTAGAATCTGAGTGAAATGCTTATGACTGACTTGTTCATCTTGCACTTTTGAGGCACAGCAGTTCCCGTCTTCGTAGTTGAGAGAGATTTGTACAGGCTGGCTTTTTAATAGCAGCTATGGAACTGCTAGAGACTTAAAAGCAGCATGAAAAGCATGGATTTCTGTATGCTACGTAGAAGCAGAATGTGTCTTTCTTTGGTGTAAGAAGAGTCTGGAGCACCATCAGCAGCAGTTAAGGAATGTCACCCTGGTAGAATTGCATCACATGAAGAAAATTTTAAGAGGGTTGCAGTACCCATGTGGTGGTCCTGCCCTTGTATTCAGACATTTAGGAAATAGTGCAATAGCCTTTTCAGTTAGCCGCCTCCTCTTCCTCTATCTTCAAAGAATTTCGGGGAAGGACTTTTCAAAAAGAACTTTCCAGTTTTGGTTACAGCAGCCAGAATGGAAATGTTTAAAAATTGGGGAACAACCACAGATTATGGCTGATTGTTGCTTCTAATAGTTTAGCATAGTGCTCTTGACACATCACAGTAGATATTAGGAAACAAACTTTATTTTAGAAACATGGCTCGTGTTTATACTTTGTGTAAGTGAAGGCTTTTCTGAGCAGAGTTCTCTAATTGCCAGCTTTTCCTTCTTGATGATTTTACTTGTAAGGAAATGTAAATATTAATTGATCATTACCTTTTAAAATATGTTGACAAATGACAACTATGCAATCCCTTTATCTTTCTGGTGTTTGTATGCTGTTTGTTATTATAATGTTATTCTTACTACATCTCTTTTAGAAGTTTAATAATTATTTTTAGAATTAATACAGATCTTCACAGTCCAAAATCCAATTATTTTGTTCTTATTTCATTGAAGTTAATCTATGTAAATAGCACATCCATTTTCCAAATGAAAACTTGTTTTGTACATTGCTTCTCTTCTATTTAAATCAGCCTCCCCTAATCTAGCACCTTCCAGACTTCAATTTGTATCAGCCCTGCTAGCATAATCACTGATCTAGAACTATAAAAATTGTAGTCTGAAATATCTAGAGGGGACCAGATTGAGAAAAGCTGCTTTACATGAAGAAAAAATAAGCATTGTAACTTCTGAAACAGTTTTTATGTATTTTTCTAGAATTACTTGGATTTGGAGGGGCATATTTTTCCCTATATTTGAATTGTACTGCATGGAAAAGTTACATGTGAAGTCCTTCTAGATACTCTTGCCATCTCTCCCATTTTGAGAAGATGAGTATGTTTCCTAACAGGGCACCATTTAGGCCTTTAGGCAAAATTAGTTTGCTTCCATTTGCCAGCTTTTCTTGCTAATCCCTGTTTTTTCCTTCTCTGCTTTAGCACAGTGAGCACTGTTCTGTCTGTGTACCGTGATAAAATTGTCATCAGTCATTTTGCCATTGCAGGAGGTAAGAAGAGTATGCCATGTTGAATACCCATTTTGAGTGAGACTGGAGTATTGATTAGAAAAGATTTGTTTTAGATCTCTAGAGTCTGTCTTTGTGGTCTATCAGGCTTCACATTTTGAACCTGGTTATATATTAAGGCTGTTATTCAATAATATATGATGGTGTTTACTATGTTTCTTAATTGGAAGATCTTTGGAATTGATCATTTATGTCGGCTTATTTCAAATAGTGTATTTCCAGGTACGCAGCCTTATGGTCACACTTTAATACTGCAATATTATTGGGTGAAAGACTCTTAAAGGATTATGAAATTTAAAAAGTTGGTAAACAATTGAGGTTGCAATCCTATACCAGCCTACTTTGGAGCAAGTCCCATTCATCTAAGTGGAACCTGTTTCTAAATAGACATGTACAAGCTTATATAGTCAATTATGTTAAATGTGAACGGAGCTTCAAATCTAAAAAATGAGATGCAGATTCTCTGTGTTAGATTGTGCTACTTAATGAGTCTTACTTTGAGTGAAGTCATTTTATACCATTTCGGAAAACTGTTCTAAACATATCCTGAATTGTATTTTTAATTAATTAATTAATTAAGCAAGCTTTTTGAACATGCAGGAATTATATCAGTTTGATTTGAACATGCTGTATAGGACATAGTTGCTTAGATCTGTCAGATAACTGGCATTCTTTTGCCCCATTATTGTGATTGCCTACACCACCTAAGTATTGTATTTTTTTTAAAACCAACATTAAAATAAATTGGAACTGTGCAGGCAGATCGCTTTCTAAGTTGTTCTGACTGCAGATAGAAGCTGCTTGCAGAACATGATAGTCCTCTTGCTGTGGGGCATGTGCTGCAGCCATTTGAATATGCAACCTACGATGGGAATTGGCATGTTATGAGGACCTGGTAACTGTGGGTTATGTGAGGCTTAAATGGCCCTCACAAAACTCATGCTCTGTTTTAGGGTTATGCAACAGTTTTTGTTAACAAATAACCAAGGCTTGCTAGGTTGCATAACTATTCTTTGACGCTAGAACCTGAGCAGAATTGGCATGTACAAGCATGGATAATACATCTGAATCTGCTCATAGATTGCTAAGGTTGTAGTGTAAGATGGGACACCTATACAGTTACCATTACTCTAGGGAATACAACTCCATTTTGTGAGTGTGTGGTTTTTTTAAAGACATTGATTAGTGGGGCACTGTTTCTATGGCAGTTGTGTCATACATATGATGTGCGTATCTGTGTGTTTCTTGCATGTATTATAACATCTGGAGGCGTTTGTAGTGGAATCTCTGCAGTCTTGAAGTCACATTCTTTTCATGGGATGCTGAAAGGCAAGGCAGCAGGAATTACATCTCAGCATATTGTATCTGAGACTTCTTGCAAGCTTTCTTTCATGCTCTGATTTGCTTTGCTTTCTAGCATGTACAGGAGGCTTGTTCAGAATGCACTTGGGCTTGAGAGGTTTGACCGGAGGCAGCATTTTTGGAGCATTGTTGGGGTAGGTTGCTCACATGTGCTTGCACATTAGTACTAAAAATTGCCACCTTCTACTAGGTATGATAATCTTCTAATGTCATCCCAGTCCTGTAATACCGTGGTGGAAGGGAGTTGGGTGTGTGGTGTGTAACAGTTCCTCCATATGCATCTGAGTAACTTCAGTGCTAACTTCCACTGTTGGTGTAGAATGCGCATGGCTTGAAGAGATGAGGGTTTACCCCCTTATGCTTGTAGAAACTTGCTTTTGGGAGTGCTCTTATTCTGTACATCAAAATAGTGCATCTGGCACTAGTAGAGAACACTACTTATCATTTGGCCTTGGGTATCTGCTCCCTTCCAAGGCTTAGCTCTGAGTGAACACGTGCATGCACACAGGTGGGCCCTAATGTAGTAACCTAGGGATATGTGACACATCCAATTGTTTCAGCTTCATTCTGTAAGCGTTCGTGGACTTCCTTTTGGTTTGGCTCACTTTCCAAGACAGGGCTAAGCATGAGAAGAAGTCTGCAAATGCTTGAGGGACATATTCCACTAGGTTTTGTCCCAACCCTATATAAACCTTAGTAACTTTGTGAACCTTTGGAAATCACCCAGCTAGTTGGAACTCCGCTCAGGCTAGGATTGTGGAACTGTGCTGAGCAGACTGGCCTTGATCAGGTTCCTGGCAAAAGAAACACTGACACTTGCCTTTCTGAATAGAAACCATGCTCTGTTACTGAATATAGGGGCATTGAGGCCAGTGAGTGCACGGATATTGGGTAATAGGATTAGCAGGGACTTTCTTGTTTCCTTTGGAGTACATTCACTGAACTTGTTTGTGAAGGGGGACCTGTGAAGAGCTTTAAATTTCATTCAATAAGTACTCAAGAATGAAAAACTTTAAAATGCTTGGATGAGCTATATAGCTCTTCAGAGCAAGAAACATTACTTTTAAATGCATCTGCATCAATGTGGCTTCTAACAAATCACCTGATGTTATGTAGCCCTCAGCAAAAGAAAATTATTCTTCCAGTCTGATTTAGAGCATCTGTTCAATGAAGATGATGATGTGTCTACAAAGAATCATGTTCTTTAATGATCAGAACAGAACAGTGAGGGTGAAGAAGGATAGATTCCTATATCCGGAGTGCATTTTTCTCCACATTAATAGGTTTTGTGCATGTTGAATGATAGTCTAAATTTCTAACAAAACAAAATATAGACTAAGATAAAGCATGGGAGAATGTTCCCCTCTATTTATGGTTGACTGTGAAATCAAGCTTCATTTATGAGTGCTTTCTAAAAGAAGATGGTTACTGGGACAGGAACCAGCAGACATATGCATTGGTGACCATGTGAAAGGGCCACTCATTCATAATTGCTGTCACTCTGAAATGTTCCAAATAACTACATTTATCTCTTATGTCTTCCTACAGCATCCCTGCAGGAGGACTCCTAATGGCAATGCAAAGTCTTTCTGGTGAAACATTGGTTGAGAGAAGAAAACGAGAACAGAGAGAGAGATATGAACAGAATTTGGCAGAATGGTAAGGACCCAGAGCTGTTAGTCCCATATCCAACCAAGTGAAAGAACTCAACATCTGATGAACTCTTCCTCTGTCCTTGTAGCCACACTGTTCATTGAGCCAGTGCAGTGGGTGGTGGGCATTTCACAGGAGGAGTGAAGCTCTGTTTCCTTATGAGGAATCCTGGTGAAGCTTCATTTCCTTCTTGTAAGCAGGGGAAAACAAGTAAGGTGGTTGGAAATGGCCACCTATAGTTTCTGGAGGATGCCTTCTAATGGATGTGCTCAAGTTCAATGCAACTGCATTGGATGGTGTCCTTATGGTATGATATCATCGGGTCTGGCAAGAATGTTGCCAGACTACTTGGTGATATAACGAACTCCCTGGAGGACGTGGTTCCTATGCTAACCCCCTATGTGGGTTGGGTGGAAACTGCTATAGTGATTTCAGAGTAAGTTGCCTATGAGTGAAAAAGAGTGTTTGGCGGTATTGGCTCTTAAGTAAAATTTGTTGTTAACCATATTTTATTTATGCATTATTTATGCATTAAATTTCTGCCCTGCCCATTATCCAAATGACTCTCTGGGTGGCTTACAGAATATGTCAGGGATGAATGACATATTTATAAAGCTATGTTTATATCAACATATAAACAATATGTCAGGAATAAATGTGTTGCTTCAAACTCCAATGTTGGCAGTCTTATAAGGAATCTGATGTGTAATTTTGTTTTTATTTTGTTTTTTCCCTTAAACTAACTCTTTTGCTCTTTAGGGATGCCAAACTCAGAATCACTGAGAATATTTCAGAAGAAGCAGGAAAAAATTCCCCAGACTTCATTCCCCAGACCAGATCATGAGTGGACTGCCATCACCTTAGTGCTGTGAATTGAACTCCGTATCTCACAATCTTGTGCTGAAGTTCTCCGTAACCCTGCTGCTAAGGGCACAATAAACTCTTCTGAGAAGCGCTCCTAAATTTGGCATGATAAACTTGCAGAATGGGAAATTAAACTTCAAAGGATGACTTTTGTTGAAAAGGGGAACAGGAATAAATAAGTGTCTTGAAGAGCGAAATTACTTCCAAAAACAATAAAGGACTGCAAAAGTAATTATTTGTGATTTTCAGTTTACTTTATACATGAATTCTTGAATTTGGCATCGTAGCTCATTTGAATACTGCAAATCAGGAAAGCATCTTAGAAAAATTAAAGACATTATTTATTTAGGGTATTAAAGACATTATTTAGAGCCAATTAAATAATTTAGAAAAATCTAGAAAAATTAAAGACATTACTAATTTAGAAACATCAAAGACATTATTTAGAACCAATAAAGCAATTTTAGCCTTCCTAGGCATGTGTTATCTGGCATATTTTTCATCATATGGTGTAATACATACCCCAGATTAGTGTTGTCTGTATGAAAAATAGCTAAATTTAGTGAACATAACAGATGATGCAAATAGAACAAACTTGTATATTTGCTCCTTTTTGTTTAATTTCAAATCCAGATTCAGATTTTCAAATATGCAATTTCTTGACCTGATCTTGGGGTAGGGAAAGTGGGAAAGTTACACATCTTTGCATTAATGTGGTGGTCTTGATAATAGATTGGTATCCCAAATAATACACATGGCATAGAGTTGGTGCCGCCTGCATCTCAACATGATTGCCTATAAATCGTCAAGCAGTTTAATCTTCATCAGGTTTGTTTTATGATAGTGGCATTTTTTGCAATATAACCATTGCAAGTTGCCTTCTGTCACAACACAGCTTTCTGTGAAATGTTAAGGGATTTGCTTTGATGTAATGATAGTATTTGCCAGTTGAATTGAGAATAAGTATGCAGTGCTACCTCTTTGTTTAGGACAGGAACGGGCAACTTAAGTTCTAGAAGCCAACTCCCCAGGGCCTGGTGACACTGCTGCAATACACCATTAAATTGCAGCAGCAGCAGCAGCAGCAAAATAATTACTACCAAAATGTGGTGGGCTAAGAAGGGCAAATTTAGCTTTAAGGTGTGTGCAAAGCACCAGTAGTATTGCTGCAGCAGAAAAATTGGGTTGTGGAGGCGACAAGGCCAGGGGGAGCAGTATACAGACTGGGTTACTCATCTCTGCTGTAGATGGTAGCTAGAATTTAAACATGCCATTACAAGATCTCTCTCCTGCCGTTCTTCCATGCTGGAACTCAAGGCAGCATGCAAAGAGTTTCCAACCAGCTACTGACCCAGACCTGCTTTCTTTCAGTAAGAATTACCAGTAACCTTCGTTTACTTGTGCTCCCCTCTGCCCTGACTTCTGTCCCCATTTGTCAGAATCATTGACTAATAGAAATATTCCAACTTTCATGTATTCATAAAATGGAGGCTTATGTGAATGGAGAATTTGGCAGAAATACAGCTAGGAAGGAAAGTAATAGATGGAACCACATTTTAACTTTGTGTGAATTTACCCATAGAGAATTGTGGCTATTGAACTCTTGGCCCATTCTTCATGTTTAGCGCTCTTAATCCACTTTTTTTTTCTTTTTTGCTCACAGAAAAAATGAGAGTAAGAGAACATTATTTAATACAATTAAGGATGTATATTTTAGTGAAACACAAGAACAGACATGAACATATTTTACATTTGTATAAAGTACAAAACTAAAAACATACCTTCCTTTGCCTCTAGCTGAAGATAAACGTATTTAAGAATTATTTGCTAAAAGAAGCTAATGCTAAAGTATATTTCTGTCTTCACATAATTAATTAGTTTTTACTTGTGTGAAGTTTAATATGCTGTAGTCAAGAGAGATAATGTGGAAATAAAAATATTAGAATATATTTTGTTCAAAGGAGAACTATATCTGGGAGAGTCTCTGGGCTGCTTCAGTCACAGATTAATGACAGTTCCCATTACATGCTATCCATGAGGAAAATGACGTTACTAATCAGAGATATATTCTCCTAAAAATATGCAACCCAGAGATGAGCAGTGATATGTGTGTCTGGGAAGTTCTTGTAGAGGTTCTTTAAAATGAATGATTCCTGTTGGAAATCAAAAGTGGCAGTATAGCATAGTTGACATTACTTTATCGGCCAGACTAGGGCACAATCCAGTGACCTTGTAACATTGTCTGGGAGGTGATAGTATAGTCCTGAACCTTTGGATTGGAGGTGCTGTGACCTCACAGCTGGGAGTCCAAAGGCCAAGCCCTCACCATGACTACTTGTAGCAGGCACAGAAATGAGCTGACTGCTTCTGAGAGCACAAATATACCTCTGAGAGGAGGAAAATGGATGTGGTGGGGGGCAGGAAGGAGGCTAGGTCCAAAAAACATAAGGGTTTCCTATCAGCCTCCATTTCTCCCCTTCCTTAGTGCTTCATCCAGACAGCTGAAAACGGTTTGTCTTTGGAGGTTTATACACAATAGGGGCCACTGGATTGCATCCTTTGCTGTCTTGAACCAAAGACGAATGGTGGCTTCCAGACCTTTTACATCATTTTAGGATCAACTGAGTGAATTGAAGAATGGAATGTGATAACTCTCAATTCTCTGGCATCCATGGGGTATATTATTTTAAACATGATTATTTTTTATTGTATGGGAGGATGGATAGAGAATATTCCACTGCAATTTGTAGTTGCCCTAAGAAGGGTGGATTAATACGAGTGTTCCAAATTCTTTCATTGGACTCACATTGGTATCATGTGGTGAGGCGCTCCAACTTAAGATTACAGTGAAGGCAAGTAAATATATGAGGACCCTAGAGAATAAAAGCTTGAAGCTGAAGCAACTATAGTGACAGGAAGTAGAAACAGTAGGACTTTTGAGAAAACAGCTGTGGAAATCACCTTAGTTCAGCCCCATCTGTAACCCTGCATGTGACACATGATAATGAGGCTGTTTGTGTAAAAATCTCTGGATGTGGTATAAATACATAAGGTAAATTATATGAAAGCATTATCGAGCAATTTCAACTGCTCCCATTTCTTTTCTACAGTGCATCCCTGCTGCATCTCCAGTGGGGCTTTTATCTGGCCAGGCTCTTGTAATCCTTATCATGTAGCTATTTCTCTTTCCCTTCTAACTAAACTATCCTGGACCACAAGGTAGCAGAGAGTTAATTGGGCTTTCCACTCCTTGGAAATCGAAGTACACAGACATGTGCATGCCCTATTGAAAAACAAAACATCAGAGCATATTCAAGTTAGTCATGTGGCTGGCAAGGAAGCACTATTTGCTACTTATATACAGTCCTTTCAGAGTGGCAATGGCAACAAAATCAGTTCAAGTTTATTTTACTGCATTGTGGTGCTGTTACCCAAACTTGGGAAGCCTCATGTAGCAGTGGGTTTGCCTGGTGTGCCTGACCAATACAAACCGGTCAAGATGGCCCTTCAGAAGGAGGCAGCTTTATTCTAGGAAAAAATGATTACTATGCACATGAGCAAAGCGAGATTATGTGCAGCACTCACCCAGACAGTGCAAGTTGCTAACTTCTATACTGCTTTTAAACGTCGTTGATTATTCCCCTCCCTTTGCACTGCCCATTGCTCTAGTGGCATCTGCTTGCTCCGGTCTAGTCTGGCCCCAACTAATTTCAGCTGCCCCATCCTTGCCTCATTCGGTATTTGGGAGGGCCACTTAGTTTACACAGTGGTAAGCTGTCATTGTATACGTGATGAGTTGCAATGCATCTTGAAATTTATGATTAGGGCATATTTGTCAGTGCTTTAAGTAGGATTAGAGGCAAGATAAATCATGTGCAAGCTGCATTTAAAGAGAATTTACAAAGTGAGAATACTTTTCCCCTGCATAGCAGGCAATAATACTGTTCCTTGGATACAGCTTATCTAAGTTCAGAATCATACTGATACCTGTCATTTTTCTGCAGCCATCTATATGGTACAGCTTTGAATTGTGCCAATGTCTCTTCATCACCCTAAGTTTGCCCCTTGCTGAAACAAGTACAATACGACTGAGGGGCTAATTCAGCAGACATTAAAAGGCTTTGGACTAACTGTAGCCTTTTCTTGGACTGTCCTTAACAGACAGCAGACAGAAAAGCACAACCTCCCATGATCAGCTTCATAATTTCTTCATGTTGTACATGAGAAAGCTTATAAAGATGAGTTTGTGGCTTACAACCACTATTAAATACTAGTTGCAAGGGATCTCCTTCTCTCCAATATGTAGCTGAGCAATCCAGTTCAGCTGACGAATCCATGGAGCAGAGGGTCAAAGCCAAATGCTGGACAGGAGATCTAAGAGCATAAAAATATTAGATATAACACACTTGCAGAAAGACAGTGACTTTCTAGTGGTTTCTGTCTGTGGACTCTTCTACATTTGCAGCAGCCTGAGGTGGAAAATTGGACTGCATCACTTTGGACTGCTGTGGAAATACGACTTCAGAATGCTCCTGTGTACAATAAAGTTCCATACAATTAAAAAACTAGCACTGCATGGAGATAGAGTCTAACCTCTGTTGTGCTGCCCTTCTACTTGTGTTTGCTTTCACACAGGAAGCTTCAAAACTAGTTTACCTCAGTGTGAAGTGATAGTCTACAACCTCCAAACTCATTTTCTTCATTCTTCCTCCCCACCACTCTCACCTGTTGCAGGCATGCAGAAATGTGATCGTGAAAGTTATGGAGCTTCTTACGGAGGCTACAGCAGGAGAATCACCTCCCCGTTTTACTGATGCAAATAGGCACATGCAGCACAGCACTGTAAATGGATCACGAAGGTCTGAGCCATTTGGATAATTTATTTTCTGCATTCATATGCCTTTGAAATGGGATTTCAAAACTCTCATCTTCATATTAATTTTGGCAGGAAGTGGTTAAGGGTGTGTATGCATCATCCCAGAAAACATACACCCCTGGGATCAGCTGGCACAGTCTGGTGGTGCCCTCCAGAACATTTTTTGTGCAAAGCCCACAATTTTACATTTTAAACAAATGCTGTGATTTCTGAACTGGGCTGTTACCTGTAGTTCTGGTTTTGTTTTCAAACAGCAAGAGAGAGGACCATCACTTTGCACACAGCTGGCATTGAAGGGTGGAGGTAGGTCTGAACCTTCCCGCTCACATTGAGGACTTGCTTTCCACAGACAGAACAGCTGTTTTCAAGAAGGTTCATACTCGCGGATTCTCACTTCTAGCACTACAGCTCAGCCTATTCAGCAGTGTCCCTCAGTCCTCAGGGAGCTGGTGCAATTCTTGTGGGAAGGAAAGGATGAAGAAATCCACATCTGCTGGCCCAGCTCCATGTGCCTAAATCTGAATCCCATCCATCCTTTTCCTGCTGAGAAGCAGTGTTTCTCTAGCTGCTTTTATTCTGTCTGGAAAAGGATTAATGTCTACCACGTGATGTGCAAGCCACTCAACTATTTACAATCTAATGTTGTCAGATCACGACATTCTGTCATTTCTTCTTCCTTTGAGCATCTCCACGCCAATGCAAGCAACTGTTTAAAAGGTTTACTCTAGAGCAGGCATAACAGCCTGATCCATATCAGGGGCCTTTGTACTTACTTTAGAGCAAAAAAGAAAATATGGAGCTGCTAGATACAGATTTAATGTTTCTTTTGGCCTACGGTGTTCAAAATATGGTCAAAAAATAGTAGGTCACAATGAGACTCACCACCTCCTCTCATGCCTCTAACCTTGTTGAGTTCGAGGCTGAATAATCTCTAGAACAAATCATCAAAAGGAAGGATGATGAAGAATTGCTAACCCAATTTGCAGGTCCCCAGTCCCCCTGATGTCAACATGCAGCATGAAACATCCAACCCGCCAGAGAAGAATGCTGGAAACCAAGCTTACCTCCCAGGTTGTGCCTGGTCAGAAAGATGCTGTTCCCGATGTCCCATTGGAGTGTGGCTGAGATGTCATTTCAACTTTTAGCACTGGCTGATTATGGCTGGTGCGGCAAGAGGACCTTGAGCGTTTGTGAACTACTGAAAAGAGGGAAAAAACCAAAGGCCAAAATGTCAGTCAATTCAGCAAAGTTGAATATAGAATCATTACCTCATACTGTTCTGGACTTTGCAAATATGGTGGAGAGTAGGGTGGGAAAGCTCTGGTATAGGTGTTTCTCAGTGAGGGAAGCCTAAGTACTTGTTGAAAAGGTGACTAAACAGCCTACAACTATGTCCAAATCCATGGTTTTGCTGTTATGGTAAATTCTGGTTTGGTATGCAGGCTATGTTGTCCTGTTCTAAGTCTTTAGCAAACCCAGCTTTCATTTCTTCTAAAGCCCAAAAGTAAGCAGTTAGTCAATTCAATTTCCTCACTTGCTCCTGACATCTTTTCTCTTTCTGTATCCCTCCCTTCTCTCCCTCCCTCCCTCCCTCCCTCTCTCTCTCTCTCTCTCTCTCTCTCTCTCTCTCACACACACACACACACACACACACACACACACACACAATGTTACTCTATCATTGGGCTGTAATAAGAGGTTTTTATACAAGCTTTCATTCATCATATCTCAATATAACAAAACAATTAAAAACACATGTTCAAGATTAGATATGAAAACATTGTACCCCTAATCTTAATAAATATTAGAAAAGACAACAAGCAATAACCAGCATCTTGAACAGAAATTACATATAAAGAAAGGTTCTTTCTTTGTGAAAGATAATGTATTCTACCCTGCCTGATTCTCTGCTTGTATTCTTTGCTAGCATGGTCCCCACTAGCATATTGTACCCTTGTACAATAAATCCCTATTTGAACAATAACATTTCTATTTGAACAACCCATATAAGTAATTCATGATTTAAAAACAAAACAAAACAGATGCAACAAAGAGTTCATTTAATGTCTAAACTGCCTTTCAAGATTGTTTCAGTACTGTTTGCTTCTGGGATGGAGTACCACTGGGATGTATTTTGCACCATGACGAAACTGAAGGAGGAACAATTTCACTCATTTGTTCTCAAAGGCCAGGTTATATTTTCAAAGTTATACACTACAGGAGTGGGACAGGGGGGATTTCTTAAACTTTTTTTTTACTTCATGACATATGGCATAGGGAAGTGGAAGGGTTCCTAGAAGCAGGGAATATAAGTTCTACGGAGTTTGTGGCTTCTTGCCCTTTGAACAATACAGCTAAGCTAAAAGGAATCAGAAACAGTGTGGTCACATTTTTTCAGGAAGATGTTTAACACAGTCGATTTATTTCAAAATGGTATGGTCCAGTATTGTGGCTTGCAATGACTATTCATCAATGGCAAATGCATTTCTGTTTTCCACTGAAAGTTGACCGCTTATTTTTATCTTGCCTTGTCTTCTGTTATTTTTTGTGCTATGCTGAAACATGTATGGGTTGTTGAAAGGTTTTTTCTGTGTGTTCTTTAGAATTTTAGAGTGTTTTATTGTGTGCTTTAAATGGTGCTTATTCCTGCTTTAAAGTCTAGAAAAATATTCAAATGTATTGCTGATTTTAATGAATAATGGTTTAGAAATATGGATAAACAAATGTGCACCCCTTTCCTTTTGTGGGTGAAGCTTAATCTGAGCAAGGTTTTAGCCTGAATTTTTTTTTTGAAACACTAGGCACAAACCCTAGAACATGTAAATAGTTAATCAAATAAAACCCACTGGGTGTGTTTGCACATAACACTAGCCCAATGGCCCTGTGGTCATCTCCTCCTTTTTCAGTCCTCCCTTGGATATCCCAGGGACCCCACAGAAGGAACAACCCTTTTCTCCCATTCCTACCACAGGATGAACCATTGTGAGTCCTCTGTGGTTTTCTCCCCGCCCCGCCCCCCCACACTCCACTTTTTGAGAGATCACAAAAGCAGGCCATCAGTCTGGCTTTTCAAATCCTCTTTTTGACAGCAATGACCAGTCCCTAAAAAGGTCCCAGCAGCACCTTGGAGAGACTGCCTATAGCAGTCCAGAATTTCTTTTAAATTTCTTTCGCATGCAACATTGTGTGAATTTCTGTTTTAAACGTTTGAAAGAATCAGCACAGCTACACAACTTCCATCTTTTGCAGTAGCATGATTGAGAGGAATCTGACACCTCAGCTGAGGAAATGTCCGCAGGTGAAATGGATGTGGAGCCTTGGCGGGGCAGGCACCCCTTGGGACATTGCCCCAGTTGAGCTTCCAAGTCCATTTGTCTTCTTCAGCTCCTTCTGAGAGCTTGCTATCAAGGTGACCTATCAAGAGACCATGAAGGCATGAGGGGCAGCTGGCATGGTCACCCCGACAAATGCCTCTCTTGCCATTAGGCTCACTAGCTGATTACTCATAATAGATCAGCTGTGTAGGTTTGGATAGAGCAACCCATTATGGGCTGAACAATCCCTAGAACAAACCGTATGTTGTTGGGGTGGCTTGTTGCCATGCACAAGCCATCGTGGGGGATAAGTATGAGTTTGCATGGCATGACAAGACAAGACAACTCAGACATGGTGATTTATTTTGCTGTCTGAACCCAGACTGCTTCCAGAGCAGGGTACATTACTTTGGAGCAACAAGCCACTCTGATGACCCTTGTTTCTTGGTTTGGTTTGGTTTGGTTTGGTTTAGGGGTTGTTTGAATCATAATGGGTTAAATTGTAATCTGAATTCAGGACACTATTCCAGCTGTCAAAGGGAGCAGTAAAGTGCAGCAGGTAGCTAAATGACAAGGTGAAATTATTCGTGAGTTTGTGTGTGCATAGGCTCATTTGTGAGCTATCACTGGGAAAGCAGAAGAAATAGGTGAACCAAAAGGGGGTGATGACAAGAGATAATCTAGTAATGTAATCCTCTTGATTTCAAGTATTGAACTGACAGCTCTCAGGGTCCTCCACGTTTTCGGATGTGCAGATTTTTGTCTCCTTTTAAAAAACCCTTAGGGGGGAAGAATGAGATACAACAAACGGGGCACTAGTACCCAGGGACCTACATTTTCACTGCTCTGCAGAGTGGCTCCATTCACTCTGTCTCATTCCGTTGCCATCTCAGGGATCGTTGGATGTTTGGGGTTTTTTTGTGGGGGGGAGGGAATTGTCAGGAAATCACAGTGACGGCAGCAATGCATGCCCTAAATGGAACACGCTCCCGAGAGAGGTCCACCTGGTTCCATGAATCAATATTTTAATAAGTGTTAATATCGAATTTTATTAATTGCAGCCAGAGTGGGTTGTCAATTTATTTATGCTGTTAGCCATCCAGAGACGTTAGTAATTGGACGACACACGAATTTTATTAAAACAAGCAAATAAATAAATAGGAACTGTGAAAGTAGGAGTGGGGTGTTGGTTATATCTTCCCCTCTCTTGAGTACCTGAAGACCTGGGGAAAGGTCAAAAATGTGAAGGACATAAGAACTGCCAGTACAGTGTTTGACCTCAAAAAGTTTGTATTGCTGAAGGGGAGATTAGAAAACTTGCTACCAACGCCTTTCAGTGCACCAAATTTTTTCCTCTTTGAAAGTGATTTTCAATTTACAGGGGAGCAACTGTGTGCAGATGCAAAGCCTATATACATACATACATACATGCAGTCTCCCTTGTCAGACTGTTACTGGCTCAACTTTGATGTTTTCTTTTACAGTCGAAACAGACAAGGACATTGACCAGAGAAGAGCACATACATTGTAATTGTGTACTTGTCCACCAAAAATGATGAACAAAGCTATGCCATTTTCTGGGGATTTCCCCCAAAAAATAAAAAAAAAAATCTCAGTTGTACATTTTGAGGCTCTGAGGAATAAAAGAACAACAAATAGCTTCATCACATGGTGGCTTAATGTGCCGTATGAACCTGCCCAAGCAGAGTATATTTTCTTTGCCTCTAAAGGAATTGGACATGTTGGGGCATGACTGAGGAAGGAAATGTATTTTGAACTAACAAGAGTCTAATGATTATACATAGTATCAGATGTTTTGTATGTAAGACAATGCATTAAAAGCAAAAAACCAAACCAAACAAATCTGCCTCCAAAAGCAGATTCCCCCCACCCTTAAACATTAGTTAGAGTCTCATCTCTGATACATCCTAAGCTCTGTAGGATTTTCCTACAGAAATGGCTAAGCAGAATATGTTCTTTTCCTACAATAGAAAACAAGAAATTCTGTAACATAACAGTAAATTATTTTCTTGGAAGTGCCCTTTGAGAAGGCTTTGTGGCTTTTGAAAATGTATCTCTTATGGGTTACAGCCAATACTATGTAAACAGACTGCCATTTCCTCAGCAGGAATTTCCCTTCCCTTCTTTGCCCTATGACATCTTGTACTTCTCATACTAAGCTCTGGAGCAGTGGTTCCCAACCTTTTGGATTTGTAGGCCCATTTGGGAATTTGAGAAACTACTATGGACACCATCACAAAATGGTTCCTCTGAAGGATGCAGCCAGTTGCATAAGAGATGCTATAAAGACTTGATGAATTAATAGAGATGGTAGATGAGAAAAATAGTAAGGGTAGAGGTTGAGAGAGAGAGAGAACCAGTAAGTTCAAGAAGTGTGGGAAGAGAAAGGGCAAGGCTAGAGACAGGGAAAGGGGAGAAAGGGGCTGTCTTTTATTATTTATTTGTTATTATTATTTATTTAATGTTGTAAGCCGCCCTGAGGCTTCGGCGAATGGGGTGGCATAAAAATGTTTTAATAAATAATAATAAATAAATAATAAAAGACAGCTGCAGAGACTGGGTGTACCAGAGAACAAAGGGGAAAGGTCTGTGTGGATGCAAGAAAACTGGTTGGGATCAGGAAGAAACTCATCTTGCCTGCTAACTAAACAGCCGACCAGTGGCAGGTTCAGGAACAGGAAGGAGAAAGTGGTGCCCAATTTTTTCAAGTTTTGTTTTCATTAAAAATAACTCTTTGAAGGGAGCAGGGAATTGAGAGAGTTGTGGGAGCTATTAAAGGTCCATATGGGTGCCATGTTAGAGACACCTGTTCCAGAGGATCATCCCAAACCTCTGCAGCAGGTTTGGAAGGGTATGGGAGGAAGAATGCAGTAGATGCTGTTCCACTGCTGCATGAGCATTAGTGGATGCAACCCATATTTATATCTGCTTTTCTTCCAGTGAGCTGAAGAGGATGTCTATGATTCTTCCACTATCCCCATATTATTCTTGCCATAACCATGTGAGTTAGGTTAGGCTGCAAGACAATGCCTTGTATAAGATCACCCAATGAGTTTCATGGCCAAGGGGATCTGACTGTTCTTTATATGACATGCAAAATCTAACTACTACAAGCACACTGAAAAGCACACTGGCAGATCACAAAGGCATCTGTACTTACTGTGGTATAGGAGAAGCATAATCGGTCCTACCACAGCTACAAGACAAATAGGAATAACAAACAATTGTGATGATGGCACAGCAGAAGGACACTTCCTTGTTATTCCTGAAATGAGAAGTTGAAAATATTACTGAACAATCCAGGCTAACATTGAAGAGCTGAATAGCTACAGGATACGCAATGGCTATATATCTGGATCTTGTGCCCATTTGCCTGGTGGCAAGCTCCACTGAAACTACTGAGAAGGCATGCATTGGATGTGTGGTACGTTCCTTTCCCCATGAAAGGAGAAATGGGAAAATAATAACTTATGTCTTTAAAGTAGATTGGTTCCACACATAAGCCTTGCCTTTTGGGCAGCAGCAGAGTGGCTGCTTCTATCTCAGAAGACTTCCTTCCTCCTACGACTTCAATACTGCTAGGCTGGGCTGCTCTTTGGTTTTTATCATTCTCCAGCCTTGTGCCTCAAAAAGAGAAGGGGCTACCAAGTCCCTTACATAAGCCAGAGAACCCAAAACTCTTACCAAGGAACTTACTCTGGTTGGTAGACACGTTGAAGTTGGACATGACTGAACAATGAACCACACTATCTTCAGTGAAGTTTAATGTCAAAATGCCAGTAATATTAAAAAGTTCTGTTTGGTTGTCAGGTATAGAAGTATAGCTCCATTCCACTGTTTCATTGTTGATCAAGCCAGACATGGTAGGCTCTGGATATCCTCCATAAGAAAAACATCTCAGTGTCAGCTGAGTTGGGCCACAGGCATTAAATTGTTCAGCATATATTTTAGGCTTGCTAAAGGCAGCTGGAATGGGGAAAAGACAGGAAGGCTAAAATTAGGTAACCGTTCTGAAAGATTTCAAACACTTATTGATATTCTTTGGCAGGACAGTCCTTCTGCACAGATACACTGAATTCAGTATGACTACCATGGGGCCAATGAGATCCTGAAGTTAAGTGGAGCTCACGTATGAAGGCTTCCCCCATGGATTGTAATCTGTATTATAATGAAATGGAGAGCTGTTCAAGACAGTCTCTTGGGGATCACTAGCACAGGCTAGTGACTGTGGTTGTAAAAGACTGAGGATCAGTGGGAAGCCCAAACTCATTGAATAAGTTTAGCTTGTGTTAGGCCAATGGCTCAGTTTTTAATGGCTGGTGAACATCAAAGGTCTGCCCCCACCTCATCCCTTCAGTCCATAAAAATTCAGTTATTTGCAGCTGGGGACCGACAGAGAAAGGGTTTGGGGCACTGAGAGTATAATTATGGCACAAAAGCGTCCCATTAAATCCAGTGTTTTGCAGTATCTCTTGTGGTGCTAAACCCTTGAATCCCCTACTTTGCTCAATCTGTACATAGTGTAAATCAACACTTTATCATAAAATGCCATAATATTTTGCTACTCCATTTAAAAGGAACCAAACCTCTAGGAAAAGAGTTGCATCTGGCAAACCATCTAGGTGTTATTTTTCTTCCAACTGGGTTTTGTAACCATGAGGAGAGAAGAGTTAGCCATAATGTGCTCCCTGGAGAGGTGTGCCTGGTGCAGAGTTTATATTCTTTTTGGTGCCAGGTTAAAACCATTTTATTTAATTGCTATTTTAAAAATTAATATTTTATTATTAACCGCTGCTTTTTGTTTTTTGTTTTTATATAATTTTATGGAATTGGTATTGATTTATTGGTTTTAATTGTACATTGGTAAGCCATCCTGAGGCATGTGGTGATGGCATATAAAAGTTTTAAATTAAATAAATAAATAAATAAATAAATAAATAAGAAGGGAAGGACTCCTCAGCAGGTCTGCTCCCTCAAATGCTCCACTGAAAAAATGAAAAAAGCTTCTCTTGGCACTGTTGGGAGCTTTTGAAAAGCCCAACTGCAGTGGGTGAGAGGCAATTTTTAAGAAAGCCAGTAGCGTTTGTGAGGGTTTAGCTCTTCTGTTTCCAAAATGCAATTAGGGAGAATGCTCAAAAAAGCCTAAATGTAGCATGGATGGGGGAGCAAAAAAACAGTCTTATCTCAAATCAGCAGCTAGAGATAGCAGACAAGCTGTTGGGCCAAATGGGAATCTGCAGGCCATGTGTGGCTGGAAGTTTCCCTTTCCTGAACTAAAGGGAGATGTTTTCAAGATGACTGACACACAAGGATACTGATTGTGACAAATCTGTCCTAAGTCAGAGGGAATATTGAATGGGCTCAGCTGGGCTGGTTGCATGAATTAGGCACTCAAGCATGGGGAGGTCACCACCAGGGATAGTGGTGTTTAAATATCATTTTTCCTATTCTCAAAACAATTTTTCAGGATTTAGACAAGATAGAAGGAAATCCTTAACTGTGCAGACTTTAGGATGGCAAATGCAGCTACACTGGCTTTTATTTTGAACAGGACTGTGTGACTGAGATGTGGTGAGGAATGGCAGCTGCAGATGACAGATGTTGTAGTTTTTATTTTTTAAATATTAATTATCAATGCATGAGGAGGATACCAGGTTGGCAGAGGCTGCTCCTAGCCTTTATGCTGCAAATACATTTTCAGCAACAGGTTCATTCTCCATTATGAAGACCTCATACTAGAAGGGGTGGGCCTTCATACATGCACACACAGGAAGATCCTCACTCCATGAAGTAAGGAGGCTTGGGAAAAGTATTCCACTAGCTTCCGTTTTAGGCTCATCCCTCTCCAGCAATGAGTCCTACCCCCAATCCTCCATAAAAAATGTTTATGACAACTTGTAAAGGACTAACATTATCCTCATATTGCTATGTGGCACTGAAAGCAACTTGCTTTAAAAAGACACTTTTGTGATTGTATCCTGTGCCCTCTAATGTATTAGCTCCAATGGAGACACATTCTCCTTAGTTAGTTACCCCACAGTTACAGTATTGGGACATTTCTCAAATTCATAACCCAAACTTCAGGGATGGTACAACCTTCTGTTTCGTCTAGCATTAGTCATTTGAAATTTTGTGTATTTAACGTGCTGTATTTTTATTTGTGTTTTAAACTCAAGTAACTAGGATGTTAGTAAAAAATAATCCTAAATAGCATAATTTGGTTTCGGGGGTGGGGTGGGAGGAAGGTAAAGGAATAGCATACAGTTGATAGAAGCAGCAGCAAAGTGAACTCTGTGTCATTTGCTCATTCCAGCAACTGATTCCAGGTGTCCAGATAGTTTTATTTTTATTCTATAAGTTGCTAATAAGTCTAAGCAAAAAGACCAGTCATAACTGAACACCCATGGTTAACATTGCTGTTGCTAAGATGGCAATTAAGCCTTGAGTGTTGCTGTAGTCATTAAAGATTCTGTATCACTAGAGAAACACTTACCTATCACGGATAAGGAGACATATGTTTCACTTATTTTGTCACTTTCCAGTATGATGATGCACTTGTATGTGCCTTTATCTGATACTTTCACTGAGGAGATGAAAAGTGTAAAATTCTGCTCATTCATCCTTGTCCTGTTTATATAATATGGATCCTTAGAGTCTGACATTTCCTTTCCATCCTTGTAAGCTATTGCAACCAGATCTTTTCTACCTTCTATATGTTTTTGCCAGTAGACTATGTAAGATTTCAGTGAAGTGTGTGAAGGTATTTTGAATTTGCAAGGAAGCTTGACTTCATCCCCTACTTCAGCTGTCATTGGGAGAATGCCTGAGGAGAAAAACACAGAGACAAAAACAGTATTTGATGACACAGATGGGCATTCTTCAAATCTCACCTCATATCTGTGCTGGGACATTATATTCTTAGGAAAGACAGAGAAGATTCAAACATTTAATTTACATTAGCCATCCACTGGGTGGAAAAAATCAAGTGGAGCGTCCAACCTGTGATGGATTCCACAGCCAGTGCATATTAGTACTGGTATGCTAAAGGTTTGCCCATAAAACATTTCAGAGTGAAGGCTTTTATTTCAGTGGAAGCTTGCATTTCAGTAAGGCTTTAGGAGGGTGCAAGATATCCCTGAGCTCTCCAACAAACATGATGATACTTATGGCTATGTACAGCCACTCTGTTCCAGCCTTTGTATTTTACTGCTTACACTGTCTTTCTGCTTCTCCTTCAAATCCACATTTTGAGGGTTATTCCTTCTCACTCCACAATCCCAGACAATCAGAGAGCACGAGGATTTCACAGCATCACACATCAATCAGTTTTGCTATGTGATGGCACCACACATGATAAACAAAGCTAATTCAGAGCAAGGACAACATTTCCTTTATCACATTCCCTGCATTTTGAACGGGTGTACTTGTGATAGAAAAAGAGTGGTGTGAGAAGTAAAACTGAAGCCCAAGCAAGAATCAAGGAACAAGGAGGATGAACACTTTATTTCCTTTTTCCTCTTAAAAATGACCAAAAGAGGGGTGTGGGGTGGCGGGGGGAACATTTTTGTAAAAGAATGTCTAGACTTCAGCTTAAATGAACAACGGGGAGGGGGGATTCTAATTGTCTGAATCCACCCTTGTTGATGGCTATGAATGACTTGGCTAGAAAATGAAGGAGTTCTGCACATTCCCTGATCAGGCTCCACCCTGAAAGGTGGAGCTCTGTGCAAATACATGCTCAGAACGTGCATGCTTCCCTCCCTCTCTCAATCTGGTGATCCCTTTTGCATGGTCATGGTTAAAGTGGGGGTGTTCTCTTTTGTGTGAAGAAGGGGGAAAGTGGAAGGGAAGTGAGTGAGCACATGGCTTGCTCTTGATGATCTAAAGCAAGCTTTCCCAGACTTGAGGGCCTTCAGATATGCTGGGTAGGACTGTTGGGAGTGATAGCCCAATACATCTGGGAGGCACCGTGCTACACTGCCCACATGCCTTTATTTCTAGTCACATCAAGACACATGACCTCCAGGAAAGGACCTAAAACCCATTCAGTTGGTATTCCAGATCTGTACCCTTTACAGATTTTCTGTGATAAGAAAAAAGACAGTAGACGCTCTGGGAAAATATGGGGAAGTTACAAGTGAAAGATGTCATCTTGAACTCACATAAAATAGGTTAGGCAATGGTATGATAAAAGCCTCATTTGGAAGCAGCTATGAGCTCACATGAGAGTTTCAGATGAGAGTTTCTTTGACCAGAAATATCCTTTCCCTTTCTCAGAGGAAGTTGATAAGGTTCCACTGCATTCCTGTCTAGAATGTTCACTGTATTTGAGATGCCATCAAGATTCAGTCTTTGTTCTCCTTGGCCTAGATTTAGCTTCCAGGGTTCAGTCCGTTCTACACAGGCTGCAGCTGGTTTATGATGCTCCTATGCTATGGAACAATAGTGAAATCACCCACAGATGCCCACACTTGAAGAAGTTTAAGTACATCCCAACCAAGTCTAGTAATCAACCTTGTGCCCTCTATGGAAGCTATCTGACCCCCTGAAATGTCTACACCCCCATTCCATCCTAGAAACCACATTTCACAGAGAAACTATACAGATAGTTTCAGTTTTAAGTCAGCTCAACTTCACTTCAAAGGGGCTTTGAGTTATAACTTTTGAAAAGAAATGCTATTTTACAGAACAATACAGTAAATATCTAGAAAAGAATTATTGTATAGTATGATTCAGATTTTAAGATAACTCAGAGTATTCATAGATTCAATTGATGAAGCCGAAAAGGGGAAGTTAGCACAAGGCTTCGGAAGACAGCACCAAAGAAGCAAAATGACATTCACAAATGAATTGAGCACTAGTTAGATGAGAGATAGAACAATCTACTCAAGCACAAGAACAGAACATTAGTAATGTGTATAACCAGGACTGTCTACACAGGACAACCTGTGTTGTCCCTGCCCCACAAACAAACAAATTGTGGGAGTGCATTCAGAACATTTCATGGAGTTCTGTGTGGGTGGCTAAACACACCAGTACTTGAAAACAACGAAGTCCGTGGGTGTACTTATGTCAGAGAGACAGCTCATTGTGACTTAGGAAAGGTCCTTTGTGGTCGACAGCCTAGCTCTCCACTGTCCAGAAAAGAGAACGAAAACCTGGGTAGGGCAACCATAAGTGCACGAAGAGATTCTGGAAATTTTTTGCTATTATCACACCTACCATTGTACACCCATGAAACTGCAACTTGAACAGGTTTATATCACAAAACAACCATGGACAAGGGAAATTATGCTGCCCACAGGCATTCAACAATTTCAGTTACTTCATGTTGAAGGTGTGTTCCGAAGCAAACTGCCCTCGTTCCCTGTAACTTGCTTGTGTGGGAGGCATCTGTCATTCAGCCACTGACTCTGAAATCTGAAGTGTCAGCAGTGAAACACAAGTTACAAATTCCCTTGTGTAAGAAGCGAGGCAGTGAAGAAGAGAAGTTTGCTCTCTTTCCTCTTGCCAGTCAACTATAAAGGACATCAGTACAACAAGCAGTTTTATGAACTCTAATTCATAAATTTTGGGGCTTCCCACCAGTGTAATGGAGCCCCTAGAGAACTTCTCCAGATTTGAATTTGGCCCTTAAGCTGAAAAGAGGTTCCCACCCTGATCTAGTTGGTCCAGCATGATGTTTCCAGTAGTGGAATGTCAAATGATTTGGGGAAGCAACAGATTGGGCATGAAGGAAAACAACCAGCAACAGGTATTGATGGAGGCATACTGCCTTTGCTCATGGATCAACTTAACCTCCACACATTTAACTGACCTCTTAAAACCAAAAGCAATCACCACTTTTGGGGAGAGCAAATGCCTTTAAGTTAATTGTTTTTATTGAACTTTAAAATGCCTATGTTGCATTTTTGTCCAAAAGCTCTTATGGTGGCATGTAATCATTTAAACATAAATGTCATTTAAAAAAATCTATTTAGAAAACCTCATAAAGTGGCATACTAGCTACTCAGGAGATTTATTTATTTATTTTAAAATTTATCCCATAGCCAATTTTCTAACAGGATCATCTAGGCAGATTATTGAACGTTACCATCCTAGACTGAAAGCCTGTTGAAATTAGAGGCTTCTTAACCTTCCAGAAAATGGTAAAAAATAAAGAGCTAGATGGGCCTGCTGAGGGAAGGACTTCCAGAGTCTGGAATACACAACCGAGAAAACCCATTTCTCACTACATGGTGCATGTGGGGACTAGAACTTCCCCCATAGATTTAAAAGGATGGGTAGAATCATTATGTGCTGTATCAAGAATTTTCCCCTTGTCTCTCCTGCGTCTGCTGCCAACTAATTTCTGGGGGCGATTCCCACCATGTAGTGTTTTGAGAAAGGCAGAACAAATTCTGGCTACTTGCTTTACCATCCCATGCATCTCGGGCTTCAAGAGTTGAGTTCACCATACCTGCTAGAGAGCACAGCAAGCCTCACACCCAGCTTTGAAACTTCAGAGTTGGGTGGGAATCAATGGGGCGGGTGGGTGGAAATTCCTGGCTAGTTCCAACAATAGCCTCCAGTGGGCAGCTGGCTCAGTGTTTCCAATGGCAACCCTCCTCTGATCACTGTCAACCAGCTTGCTTGCTTCCTCTTTACACAGTGAGGGCATATCCTCGTCCTTCTCCTCGTACTGAAGTGTCCCTTCTCTTTCCACCCCAGTGTGTCCTGTTGACCAAAGAAAGTGCTGGCCAGACCAACCTGCAGGACTCATGCCACTCCACTAACAACAAAACAAATTAACCCCCTCACCCTAAAACTATGCTTTGAGTAGCAGCCGTATAAACCAATCAGGGTACCAATGAAGGCTCAGGAGCAGTGATGTCCCTTTGCCAGGACTGTGACTTCATTGGCTATTTTTCTGTACCCCTGTGGCAATGTCTGATTAATCTGCCTGGTCAAGGAACTTGGCCAGATACAAGTTGAGATGGGGTCTGAGCTCCAGAGCACAAACCCGAATACAGTTGGTGCTAGATGGTACTGGTTCATTTGCAGCAAGCTAACATCTCTGTTAACATTTTAAGAAATAAAAAATCAGGAGAGTCAGAGATGGTGGCACACACCAACACTGGTGTCTATGAACACTATGTAAGAGGCCCTGGCTCTTGCCACTGTTATCAACGTGCTAACTCTTTCTGTGTAAAGAACAGAACCATTGGAAGGGTCAACTGTTTCCTAGCATCCTAGCATACGGTAATGCTACCAAACAAAAGGAAATGAAAGTGTGTAGCTGTTACACTCCATGGCTTGCTCTACTCCCAGGGGAGATCATAATATGTCATTTTTCATGGTTGATGTTTAATTTTCTTTCAGGGAATCCCCTGAGACAGCAGTGAACTTGTGATATTTAAACTCATAAGAGAGGAAAGCAGAAGCCCAGCCTACAGCTTGGTTTTGAATGAACATTCAGTTCCGGATTTGGCATTTCTAGTGAAGTCAGAGATTTAAGGTCTCATTTAACAACATTGCCGGACTCTTTTGGATACATCCAATGTTAATAAGTTGTTTATAGCAGGAGTATGCATCTTTTAAGGGCTGTAGGAACATTTGGCAATTTGATAAATTTTCCTGGGTACCACCACAAAATAGCTGCAATAGGAAACTTGGCAAAGAGCAAACCATGTGCCTAGAAGACTGAGTACATGGCAGTGGTGAAGTCTTACCCTCAACACACTAAGGAACTCCTTGAACCCATAGTTTTCAGCACCAACATAAACCTATTTCCCAGCAATCCCAGCGGTTCATAAGATCGTGGAGTATTTATATTTTTTAATT